AACTTACAGGGTGAAGAAGGGCAGTCATGGCAGAAGATTCATATCATGGTTATCCACACAACATAAAAGTTTAATAATAACAATAGTAGTAATGTCAACTTATATTTGATTTCTAGTTTATTCTACATTTGCTGGTACGTACTGCATGAGGCACTGTGTTAGGTGCTGGGGATTCAGATGTGAAAACTGCCTATGGGACTCCTACCCCTACAGGACTTAACAGTCCCGTGCAAGGTGCACACAAGGGATTGGAATATTGCAACACGGAAGGACAGGCGCTCTTATGGGCAAGAGGAGCAGAAGATGCTGGGAACAGAGAAAGCACCATACTCAAACTTAAAATAGCCTTTTGACACATTATGAAGTACTTTGCTCTCACTGTGATGCTTGAAAGGAGAAAACTCTGTAATTCAGGGGGATCCGATCTTCTTGTCTCCAGAACCACAGCAACAACTTGGGATTCCAGGAAGGCCCCAGAATGGACTGGCTGCTGTACGCTCTGGTCCTCCCTTGGGGCTTCTCCTGTAGGAGGCGCAGGCTCTGGTCCTCCATAACCTTTGCCACAGGCTTGGTGCAGATGCAGTGACCCCCCTTGACTGGGAGTCTCTGCAACCATCAGGTGGTACTTGGCTTCATCCTGAGCATGGCAGGAACAGGAATGCCCCTCCCCGCCACAAGTCCCAGTCTGCAATTTCCAAATCCTGATGCAGTCAGGTGGGATCATGTGACTAGTTCTAGCCAATGGGCTATGACCAGCAGTAAGGTACATCATTTCTAAGACAAAGCTTTTAATTGCTGGGGCAAAATCCCCCAGTGCTCTCTTCCTCGCCGCAGTGACTGAGACAGCCTCGTAGTCCAGGTGGTTTAGACACAAACTTGTGAAGCCTCCATCAGACTGAGCCTTGAGTGAAGCAGAATTCTCTATGATAAGGAGCATGATAGAGAAATAAACTTTTGCTGTGTTAAGCCGCTGCAATTTGGGGGTTATTGACCACTAATTCTGGACCAAGAGAGTGTTCAACATTTGGTTCGAACAGCTCCAGAAAATGATGACTCAGTAAGAAAGAATGAACTTATTCCCTCCATGAGCAACAACACCAATGAAAAAGAACAGTTGACCTTTGAATAGTGTTTAGTGATTTTCCCGGCGCCTGCATGAGCAGGATTTAATCGTTGCTGAAACAACAGTGAGACTTCAGTGTACTCGGATCTGTTTTAATCATGGCTAAGGTGAGGCTAACCAGTTCTGAGGTGAGGCTGAGGGGTTTCACACCCCCCTTCTCCAAGTCATGACAGTGGCTTCAGCTCTTGTAACTGTCATCCTAGCACAGGGCACAAGATGCTCTCCGGAAGGGGCTCTCGGAGGCAGCAGAAAGGACTTAGAAGCTTCAAACAGCCTCCCCAGAGTCAGCATGAGCGAGCTATCCAGGTCAGGCAGAATTACACAGTCCCTTCCTTTGCCCCGCACAGGATCCCACACCAGTGGGGTCTTGCCTGGCAGCCAGATAAGACTTTTACATAAAATACAATAGTGTTCGTCCCTCAGCCGTGTGCCGTAATTATAAGAACACATCTTCAAGTCTATTTAGCTTACTCAGAGCAACCTTACTGCCTTTGAATCAGGGCTTTTCACGAAGGCCACATGGTGTCAACTCAAGGTTATTTTTTAAGTAATTTGTTTTCGTGGTTACGAACATAATTTATGTTTATTATAGAAAGTGTGCAAAACACAGAAGAGCACAAAGACAAAAATATAAATTATGCACAAGCCCAACAACCAGTAATAGCCATTATTATAAGATTAGCCCTGCCATATTTTCTAGTCTTTTCTGTCAAAATGGGTGTCATACAGCAACTATCAATATTTTGTAAGCTGATTTAATAGTTACTATTTTGTGAACATACACCCGCATTTTTTATATTCTCATTTGACCTGATTTTGGTGGCTGCGCTGGGTTCTATCCCATCTTCTCACCCTCCTGTCATTGGGCATTTGTGTCGCTTTAAGGGTCCGCCACATGATGCTGTGATGAAGCTCTTAGCATGTACATCTTTATGTGTCCCTGTTTCAAAAAAAAAAAGGAAGGAAGGAAGGAAGGAAAGAAAGAAAGAGAAAGAAAGAAAAAGAAAGCAAGCTGGGTCAAAAGATTTGGACACCTCATGACTTTTTCACACTGTTGACAATTTCCCTTTAGAAAGAATAGTGCAGGTGAGTCTCCGTCTCCCACACCTGACTTTAATTGGATGGTACATCAGTCAGGGTCCAGTTGGTAAAAACAAAAGCACACTCGGTGTCTCAACAAAGAGAGTTTAGCATAAAGGTTGGTTTAATAGGCATCGGCAGGCTGAAAGGAAACGAGTACACGAGATAACTCAGAGAGAGCAACTGCGGAAAGCGTGCCCCATCTCGACAGCTGCAGGCGGGAAGGGGCAGAGCTGGGACTGCTGAAACCTGCAGGATTGAAGCAGGGGCCCCCCTGGAGCTGGAGCACGGGTCTCTGAGGAGGGGCTGCTGCCTGTTGCTGCTGGCACTGTAGGAGCTCATGCCAAAATCCCTGCAGACCTGGGACTCAGACCTCTGAGACGTTCCTGGCTGGTGTTGGTGCCTCTGAAGGACATTGCAAGGCTATACCTGATTGTGCAAAAAAACTAAATAATTAATTACAAAAAAGTAAAAAACAAAAACAAAAGCTAAAGTGTGGGACCAGCTGCCGCCACCAAAGTAAGGAATCATTACTGAGAAGACCTTGACAATATCAGCAAGCAAACCAGCAGGATCAAGTCCTTCTTTCCCCAGCCTTGCAGACTTCCTCTAGTGCCCCCTACTGGCAGAGCCTGACATGGAGCCAGCTGACAAACGAGAAATGATGTTTGCACAGTCCCAGCCCCAACTTCATAGAAAGGTCGATTTGGAGCTGAGAGACAATAGCCTAATAACCAAACAGGCATTATCACATTTTAAATGGATTTAGGTAATATTTTTAATGATTCATATCAATGATTCAAAGCAAATTAAGACATTGGTTAATAAAATATTTTGGTGATTCACAGTTTTATAATACATAGAGATCTGACTTCAGATCAAACTGGGAATTCTTTAAAAAACAAAATACCAAATTACTACCAGCTGATATTAATTTAAAGTGCTTCCTATGTGCCTAGGACTCAGTGCAGCTGACAACAGAGGTGAGATCTGTACTGGCAGCCAGATGTTGGAGCCCGAGCTCTTAGTCCTGTCTCTGTACTGTCTCCATCCCCTTTACCATTCAGGTGACACACTTGTTCTTCCTCTGGCTGTACCCTGGGGATGAACACAGCAACCTCGGACTCTTGAGAGAATCTTTCATTTCTGCTGCAGGGCTGCTGGGTAGTGAAGACTGTTCTCATGTGAAGTGTTCAGCATCTCAGAGGCCTCGCAGTGAATGTCAGAACGGACTCAGGCCCTGATTTTGATCTTGAGCGAGCAACCCTAGTGTCCTGGAATCACAGAGCAGCACTAAAAGGTATTTGAATCCCTTTGTCACATTTCAATAAACTGTTGTTCAGACTATATCCGAACACTTTTCGTGACCTGTAATATCCAATGCAGCCTCTCTATATTTTCCAATAGCTCTGGTTAATAATATTTTTTTAAAAAGTCCTTACTTGCAGAGTGCTAAGACCTAGTACTCTGCAAGCTCCACCTGAAGATTTCTGACCTTGCTCTCTGGATAACGCAGCTTTGTGAGTGTGCAAAGGCAGCTGTCACATCGGTCTTCCCCTGGCGTTGTGGGGAGGAGCACACGTACTTTCAGAGGTAGCAAAAGTCTCAAACATGGCAGAGTGGATGGATGAGCAGAACTCAGATTGGTTATTGAGGAAGAACCACACAGAGGATGTTTTCTTCGTGGTTAAGAGCACGGGTTTTAAAATTAGACCAATCTGAGTTCAAGTGCTCCCTGAGACCATTCACTAGCTCTGTGACCTTAAGCAGGTTTGCTTAGCCAAGTGGGAATGTGAACACCTACCAGGTAGTGGTATTGTGAGCATCCAGTCAGCTGCAGCTTGTCTGTGCTTGCCTTTGCCACAAAGGAGATGTTCAGGAAATGAGATTGATCAAGTGTATCGATGATAGCCACTAATTTTATTTACACATAAAGTTATGAAATGTCTCAGTAATTCTCATCAAAACGTCATCTCATTTCATCTCAAAAGATCAATTTCTGAGCTAGGTGACAACCTGTCAGTCCACGGAAGAAGCTGAGGTCAATAGCATGTGGGGTCTGAAGACCTGAATTCAAGAATTCATTCTGCCCCTTGTTCTGTGATCTTGAGTAAATTGTCTGATACTTGGGTTTTTTCACTTAGAAAATGCACTCACAGAGCTAAAATGCCCACCATGAAGTTCTATGGAGCAGTTAGAAGTAACAGATTAGAACAACAGAGCAGTGTGGATGGATCTAAAAAAATAGTTTGGAGTGAAATAAGTGATTAGTAGATTGAGAAGTATAACAATGCCATTTATGTGAAATCAAAACAATCACGATGTATTGTAACACCCATGTAAATTAAAGAAGTCCAGGGTATTGCAAGGATTGTCTGTGAGAGGAAGAAAATGCAAGCAAGCTGGAAGATTTAAAGGGATGAAACATAAAGACAAGAGGGGCCTCAACCAAAAAATTAGTGAGCAAACAAGTAAATAAAATGGGAAAATGATGCTTCCCTACCTTCTTACAAGATTATTCTGAGGATCTGATGACATTATGTATAGGAAAAAAGTTACTTCAGTGTTTCTATTATGATCTCCATATTGGACAAATGAGCTGAACGGAGGCAAAAAGTCCCCATCCCTCTTCAGCAGGAAGAGCATCACCAGGTAGGGACCAGGAAGCCTTGCTCTGGCTTCAGAGAAGCTGGTGGTGAGATGACATCAGAGTTGTTATGAAGGAGGGGCAGTCTCTCCCTCACTTCTGGAGACACCACTTTTTGACACAGCCAGAAGCAGAAGCAGACTCCTTCCCATGGATTCACTGCACATGGCCCACTCGGGCCCTCGGAAGAAGAGACCCAGGCAGATGGGCACCTTGATGGCTTCCCCTCCTCATGACATCAAGTTCCAAGATTTGGTCCTCTTCATTTTGGAGAAGAAAATGGGAACCACCCGCAGAGCCTTCCTCATGGAGCTAGCTCGAAGGAAAGGATTCAGGGTTGAGAATGAGCTCAGGTAGGACACCACTGATTCCATCTGTGAGTCAGTTTTATGAACAGCTTCTCTGAAACCCAGGGAGCCTCTGTCTTCTCCCACATGGGGAAGACCCAATGCTCCCATGGGGAGAACAGGTTTGAAATCAAGAAACAAATCTGAGCCCATTTGTTATGGGAAGTAAGAGAGTGGGAACTGAATACAATTACATAGAAACTAGTTAGCATCCAAAGATAATGTAAAAAAATTGTTTTCTACTTCTATGCGTTGAGGTATCTAAGGATGAGAAACAGAAACCTAGTTGGAAAATTTAGTGCTGAGACCACTCAGTTTCATTCTTGACCAGTTTGAACAAAACGCTACTGCATTCTATCAAAAAGTTTTCAGCTACTCAGAGGCAGAAAGAATGCTTCAGTTGCTTGGCTCTTAGGCCAAACATCTGGCTGTGCTAAAGTGACAAGTGTCTGTGACAGGCTAGGATGATGCACTGTAGCTGGCTCACCATAGGCACCCCAGTGTGGCTTTGATCTTGCTCTTTCCAAAATTCAGTCTGAGTGGGACATGTAGAGAGAAGGATGCTAGCTGAAGATTCAGGGGCCATTCTGTCCCAGGGTGGTGGCTGCCATGCCAGGAGTGATGAGGTCACTCAAGAGAAGCCAGACAAGAAGGCAGTTGAAGGCACCATTCAGGCTACCTGGACTGGTTCCCTCAGAAAACCACCCACATCCCAGCAGTCAGCCTATGGCTTTTACTAACTGTTACATCAGCTCTTCACTGGTCTCAAATAGAGGGAAGAGAAAACAGAACACAATGCAGAAATGAATGGCATTACAACCTTCACCTAAATAGTTCCGAACAGACCTGTCGGGGGGCTTGCAGCGAATCAAGAATGGTGACTAGAGCAATTGGCTGGCTTTCATGGTCAAAAGAATAGACTAACAGCATTTTTTTTAGGAAAAACTATAAGAATTCTATGTGAAAATAAATTTGTATTTAAGAATAGTCTTTGATATTTAAAAATAAAACTGACAAGCCTTTCTGCTGAAGAAATGCCAGCTTCTAATTGCTCGAGAGACATATGTCAAAAGTCAGTAATCAGATATGACTATTTTCACAAGAGCCATAATTCATATGGAAAGGCAATGTCATAGAGACATTTTATTTTTCTTACCAAAGGGCCACATTCAGAAATTCCTGAGCCTCCCATGATCTTGCTCATCTGATGTCTCTTTATGTGGTCTCCTTTGCCCGCCTCTGCCTCTTCTCTTCAACCCTGTCTCTTTTGTGATGTTAAGTCCAAAATACCAGTAAGTTTCTTCTAACTGTTAAGTCTACCTAATTTCACAGACTTACATAAAATGTTGAAATTAAGAGGGGCAAGATGACACAGGCAAAGAAGCCAAAAATAAGAAGTTGGAAAAACAGAAATGAAAAAGCTTAGCAAATACAGAACTGCTTTTTCATGGTAAAGAAATTTGGGAAGGGCCGGGCAGGAAGACGAGAGCCAGATTGTCAAGGTACCACTTACACAGAAAGCTCCCTGTGGAACAGTCCATCCTTCCAGCAAGGGCTGGCTAGTTTAGTTATAGACACAGCTACCAGTACGGACGTGGTGGCTGAGACAGGTGCCTGGGGAGATGATGGGAGGCAAGTTCCTTCTTTTGGCAGCAGAGCCCTAGGGGCAGCCCTGTGCCCCAGATGCCTGCTGCCAGGGACCAAGCCCAGCTGCTCAGGCGACAGAGGAAACTGCAGCGCGGTGAGCAAACTGTTGCTGTGCGTGCGATGGGGGCAACGTTCCCAGGCTGGTGGCTCGGCAGACACATTAAATACAAATGTGTTCTATGGCACAAAAATAAACCACAGGAAGTAGGAGTCCTAGCTCTCAAACAGAATTTTTGTACTTAGATACAACAGACTTTATCGGAAAGGACAATAGAAATCATTGTAGGGGGAATCTCTAGATAAGAAATCTGGAGACCTCAAATCCTGGCTCTGACCCTTCCCAGACATGCCATGTGGGGCAAGAGCCCCCACTCTCTTCTCTGACCTTAGTTTCCAGAAAAATGGTTTTGTCTGTCTGATGTGATCACCAAATGTGATAATAGATGTAATAGATGTCAGTGTGCTTTGATAAATTAAAAGTTATGCAAATGTGAAATGTGAATGCTTTTTTGTTAATTAACTGGATCCATTGGCCGTTACAGCAGAATCCCAAGGAGAGGCTTCTTTCTCCACAATATAAACTAGGACAAATGATATAAACAAACAGAACAAAGACAGGAAGGAAACCCATCAAAATGTTTTAAGTGGTTATTTTGGGTGGAAGGAGGGAGCAGTAGGGAGGGATTATGGCTGCTTTTATTCTCTGTTTTCTAATTTCTTAAAAATGTGCATATATTTTAAAAATGAAAATAAAAACTGATTTTTAAAGAAAGGATGCTTCTCGATAGTAAAGCCTAGCTATAACTATCCTGTCTAGTACATAGGATTCAAAGAAAGAGGAACTAAAAGGAAAAAGTGTGTTCTAAAAATAGGCGGCAATCTTCATAGCTCCTAGCACATTCTTTGGTTTCCGGGAGGATTAAATTTGAGGAAAAATCTGATTCTTGCTTTACCTGGGTCTGGTTGCACAGCTAAGAAATGGCACACCTGGATGCATGGACTGCCTGGAGCCGTTTCATCCTCCAGCACATGCGTGCTGTGTCCTCACGTGCTGAAGGTGAAAGAGTTGTGGTGGGAAGGAGGGCTCTCCAGGGCAATGGGCCCCTGAGTCCCCTTTTAGTGCAGTTGCTGCGAAAACCTTGCAATCGTAAATCCCTTCTCAGCCTCTTTGAGATGGAAGTCTGCCAACCACCCAAAACTGCCTTCTCAAGGACCAGAGAGGCAGGTCTTCGAAAGGCAAACATCCAGGAGAGAACTCTAAGTCCCATGCCCTGGGGGAAGGGAAAGGCTCTAACTAGCGCCGTGCCACTAAGCAAATCCAGGCGGACTGGTCACATGGACCAGCTCCCCTTAATGCTCTTCAGTGCCTTTCCCTTAACACATCTCAGCCTTTTAAAAAAATATTTTATTGATTATACTATTACAGTTGTCCCAAGTTTTCCCTTTGCCCCCTCCACCCAGCACCTCCTCCCTCAAGCAACCCGGCATGTTGTCTGTGTCCATGGGTCATGTGTATATGTTCTGTGTCTAATCCCTCCACCTTCTTTCAGCCAGTCCCCACGGCTGCCCTCCTCTCTTCCAGCTGTCCGTCTATTCCATGATTCCATGCCTCTGATTCTATTTTGCTTATTAGTTTATGTTGTTTGTTAGATTATACTTATATGTGAGATCATATGGTATTTGTTTCACTCTGACTGGCTTATTTCACTTAGCTTAATAGTCTCCAGTTCCATCCATGTAGTCACAAAAGGTAAGCATTCCTTCTTTTTTACTACGGTGTAGTATTCCATTGTGTCAATGTACCATAGTTTTTTATCCACTGCTCTACTGATGGGCACTTGGGCTGTTTCCAGAGTTTGGCTATTGCAAATAACGCTGCTATGAACATAGGGGTGCATACATTCTCTTGAATTGATGTTTTGGGATTGATAGGACACATTCCCAGAACAGACACCAGCCTTTAAAAGCTCTCCTGCCTTGTGTTTCCTTGCAGTTGAACTTGAATCATGCTGGACCCTCTTCCCTATTGTGATAGTTATTACTAAATAAAATCTGTCCTTACAGCTTTAACTAGTGTCCAGCTTTGTTTATCTTTGGCAATGTCCCGTCACTTCCAATTTGTGGTGTTTGAAATCCAAACAGTAAAAGTCATTGTTTGCAAAATAAACTGAACACCAGATGAAAAAGCTGCTACCAGCTTCAGAAAATATGATGTTGAACTAGTCCACCTCGAGGCCCCTTCCAGGTCCCACGTCCAAACACAGCTTCACTGGTTTCTCTTTTTATTTTTTTTCTCACTTTCTCCCCCTGACCTTGAACCGTTTTCTCCCTACACCTCTCCATGTCTAAGACCTAAGAGCCCTGGACGCCCTCTTACAGGAGAGGATGTCCTCCCTGGAACATGAGATCCGTGGCCTTGCACTTGGCTTTGCTCCTCCGCTCATGCAGTCTCCCCTCCTCAGCCTCACGAGGGCCAGGGCATCATCAAGGCCATAGTACACACCTCATCCCCCCGGCCTCAGACAATTGTCTTACACACAATAGACTCCAGGAAATATTTGCTCAAAAGGATGGTTTATCTGATGAGTGTGGAATCAGCCAGGGGAACTTTTAATTTTTAATTTCTGTAATTAAAACTTTTTTCTATAATGTACCAGTATTACTTTTGTAACCAGCAACATGATAAAGACTTTATTTTTATAAATTCAGGAGCATGCAGTGTAAATTTTTAGACCTGCTCTGGTCCAAAGTACTTTGTGATTCAAAACTTATGGAATTTAAATTAGTGGAAATGTTCATAACGCCATTTAAGATGGGCCAAAAAATGAAGGCAAAACCTTCTCAGTCTTAAGTCTATCAGGGCTGGAAATAGAAATCTGCCTTTACTGCTTTGATTTTTTTCTGTTTCAGGGATTCTGAAATGATCAGTTGCTAAGGGAAATTGGCAGGGAGGGTTTTTAAACTGTAAACCACTCACCTTAACTGTAGATTACTATTTAAAATCATTGCTTACAAAATAAGTCTTACATCAGGTGGGAATTATCAGGAATGACCTTTTCGGGGAAAGAAGACAGTTTTAAAGGCAAAGATAGAAGCAGGTGAGCATCCATGAAATCTGGGGAAGTCGGACTGGGGTCAGCCTGTCTCCAAGCACAAAGGATGGCTGCCTCTTTCTTCATGGAGAATTTCTCTAATATGCTGAGAGATAGCTCTAACCAGGAAAAGAAAGACAGGGTCCAGGTATCAGAGAAAATAATTCAGAACTAAGATTTATGAGTTAGTTCCATAATTCAGAGCTTTCCAGACATCTTAAGTGCCGCATTTAGGGTTCTTATATCTTTTACTGCATGTGTTATATACTTAATGTGTTTCCTTTCATTGTTCCTAAACTGAGCTCTTAAAAATAACTTATCTTTGTCCTAAGGAATAATATACCAACTATGAGACCCATTAAAACCATGTTTTATGGGCATAAGATAAAAATGTGGGTATAAATAGACACATATGCTTTTTAAATGTTCAATTGTGTACCTGCTAAAATTACCTGATATACTTGCAGGGAAATGAATATCATGTTGGGAAACTGCTAAAATTGAGCCCAACACCCAGTGTGGGGCAGTTAAAGAAAAATCTCTCTTTACCACAGTGTTTCTCAAAGTGGAATTCTTGGGCTTTGAGTGGGTTTTAAAATATGGGTGGTCCCACGGAGAGGCAGCAGAGTCTATTTTCTCTTTCATTGCATCTGGGAGGGCTTGTGGCTGTTACAACCAATAGAGTGACACCATGTGACTTTTCAGGCTGGGCCCTAAAAGGCCCTGTGGTTTCTACTGGTCCCTGGATCCCAGAACCTCATGTGAGGAGTTTGAGTCCCACCTGAGAGAGGCCGCATACAGGTGTTCAGGTTGATGGATGCATTGAGCCCCACCTCCCAGCCATCCTCACCTAGGTGTCAGACATGCAGAGCCATCTGGAACATCAGCAAATGCACATTGATGTTTCTCTCCCTCTCTTTCTCTCTCCCTTCCCCTCTCTCTAAAAATAAAATAAAATATTTTTTAAAAAATGTGCAAAGGACCTGAACAGACCCTTCTCCAAGGAGGATGTACAGAGGGCCCAGAGACATGAAGGGATGCTCAGCATCACTAGCCATCAGAGAGATGCAGATTAAAACCACAATGAGATACCAATTCACATCAGTGAGAAGGGCCATCATAAGAAAATCAACAAACAAGTGCTGGCGAGGCTGTGGAGAAAAGGGAACCCTAGTGCACCGTTGGTGGGAATGCAGACTGGTGCAGCCACTGTGGAAAACAGTATGGAATTTCCTCAAAAATCTAAAGATGGAACTGCCTTTTGATCCAGTGATCTCACTGCTGGGATTATACCCTAAGAACCCTAAAACACTAATCCAAAAAAACCTATGCACCCCCATGTTCATGGCAATATTACTTATAATATCCAAGTGTTGGAAACAGCCTAAGTGCCCATCAGTAAATGAGTGGATAAAAAAAAACTGTAGTACATTTACACAATGGACACAGCAGAAAGAAAGAAGGAGCTCCTACCTTTCACGCCAGCATGGATGGAACTGGAGAGCATTATGCTAAGTAAAATAAGCCAGGTGGTAAAAGACAAATACCATATGATCTCACCTATAAATGGAACCTAATCAACAAAACAAACAAGCACAATAGAACCAGAGACATGGAAATAAATAACAAAATGACAGTGATGGGGGGTGCAAGGGGTATAATGGGGGAAAGAAAGGGAAGGGTCAAGTCAAGGAACATGTATAAAGGACCCATGGACAAGGACAACAGGGATAGGGGAGGACTGAATGTGGGGGGTGGGAGTGGATGGGGCAGTGGTGGGAGTGGATGGAGAGTAATGGGGGAAAAATCGGGACAACTGTAATTGAACAACAATAAAAAAAATTTTTTAAAGAAGAAAGCCTAGGTCCTGGACACATAGCCCACTTGGTTGGAGCATCATCCTGTGCTCCAAAAGATCGCTAGTTTGATCCTGGTTGTCGGTTTGATCCCCAGTTGGGGCGCATATAAGAGGCAACGTATTGGTGTTTCTCTCTCACATCAATGTTTCTCTCCCTCTCTCTCTCTCTGCAAAAATCAATGGAAACGTGTCCTTGGGTGAGAATTAAGAAGGGAGGGAGGAAGGAGAAAGGAAGGAAAGAAAGACCCCAGGCCTCTGGGGGCAAGGCAGATAGTACCTTAGCTCCAGCCCCAGGGGTTTTTTTGTCCTTGAAAATGACATTCATGTATGTTATATTTCCTAAGTAGAAATGTGATGATAGATGGTTCATGATAGAAAACACAGAAAAATACCAAAACAAACAAAACCTCACTCAGAGTCTAACCACAGTCTAGAGGAACGTTGAGAGATTGCTTGAGTCATGCACACCTGGTTTGACCCTGGCTTCATGTGGCCTCCACAAGCCTCAGCTTTCTCCTCTAAAATCACATTGCCTGCCTCCTAAGGACCTACAGTTTTATCCGCTGGCTCCCCATCCACAGGTGCAACCAATCATAGATGGAAAATAACTTCAAAAGTCCAGAAACTTGATCCCTAAACGATGCAGTATAGCAATTATTTACACAGCATTTACCTTGTGTAGTTGCTACAAGTTGCCTGAAGATGAGTGTATGGGAGGACCTGCGTAGGTTACATAAATGTGCCATTTTGTATAAGGGACTAGAGCACAGGTGGCAAACACACAGCCCAGTGGCCGAATCCAGCCCTCCACCTTGTTTTATCTGGCTAGCACCTTGTTTCTACCCAGCGGCAGTGCTGAGCTCCTTGCCCCTAGTTAAGGAGTGGTTACATTTATACAGTCCTAAAGTTACATTCAGCCGTTTGAAGGCAACTGTGAGGCCAATGTGGCCCCCCATGAAAATGAGTTTGACACCCCTGGACTAGAGCATCCAGGATCTATGGGTCCTGGAACCCATCCCCTGTGGATACGGAAGAATGTCTGTATGCATGTGCCTTGTGCGTGTGTGTAGTTGTTATCATTTTTTGTGATAGCCTGGAGTATTTCTCTTTAGCCTTTTTCTTCTGTATATGCCTGTGTGTTATACTCCCACCCTTTCCCCGACTTTTCCAGGCACACTGGATGTCTCTGTTAGAGGCAGGACTGTGTCCAGAGACACCCTAGGTGAGGAGATAGTGGTGGTGGAGCAGGGGTGGGAAGAGTGGATGGAGAGGGGCCTGAGTTTGGAAGATGACCCCCAGGGCTCTTCCGCAGCAAACCTGCCTCCTTCCCAGGTTTAGGAGGGGCCCTGAGCTCAGAGAGCCTGACAGCCTCCCTGTGGCTTCTCCATCTTGGTGTGTAACTATGGCAACTGTTCTTTCAGATTTTCTGGGACAATTCTACATGTCTTGCAGTCTTATTGTAGTTCATATGATATTGGACATAAAATACCAAAACAAATTCCATGTGGCAGAAGCAGGAACAGTGGGCTAATGGTACTATTAGGAAGTGTTACTGTATCTCTACCGCTGTTCTTTGGAGGGAAGTGGGGTTTTTAATAATTATGATACTCATCCAGATGTTGTTCCTTCTGCAAAAAGGGGCAGCTGTCTCCACAGCCATGGAGCAAGCACAAAGTCACAGAAAGGTGCTTCAACTTCGTCCAGCACACAAGCTTTGCCATGTAACATAGACCACCATGGCTGCACTAGTTAAAACAGAGAGAATCCCCTTGTGTGGGGACCCACCCTCTCCATGCCTGTGGTCAGGTCTAGTATGTGTCATTCTCCATTAGATGGGACACTCTGGACACCTTGAGGAAAGAGGGGAGCTTCTGATTCCAAAAGCCCCTTCAGCTGGTAACTATGTCTTATGTTCTGCAGTGACTCCGTCACCCACATTGTGGCAGAAAACAACTCTGGTTCGGAAGTCCTGGAGTGGCTTCAGGTACAGAATGTAAAAGCCAGCCCACAGCTAGAACTCGTCGATATCTCCTGGCTCACAGAATGTATGAGAGCAGGAAAACCCGTGGAGATGACAGGAAAACACCAGCTTGTCGTAAGTGGCATGGTTGTGGTTTCCATTGTCCTTTGCTTGATGGTTAGCGATGGCAGGGGCTACAAAATCAACACACTTGGGTTCTCTGCTCACTCCTTGTGTGACCTTGGGCAAGTCACCTCGCTTTTCTGAGCTTCAGTTTTCTGCTCTATAATATGAGATAACAGTGTCTATGTTGTCAGATGGTTTTGAGGATTGAAATAACATAGATGTAAAGCACTTAACACAAAGCCTGGCCTATATAGTAGGCACTTAATAAACAGTGGCTATTTTTATGAAGAGGCCTATACACAAATACTTCAAAATAGTGACATCTCTGTGTTCTGGCAGCCAGAGAAGTAAAGGGTTCCTACTTTTTTCCCCTACTGTGACCATTCAGAGAGAAAAAAATTCAGAAAGTTGAGATCTTAATTCAAAATCTTTCACCACTGTGCTAGAACCTTCAGAAATAAGGTTCAGACCATAACTAAGTTTATGGAAAAGGAAAACAGTATTGAATCAATGGTCTTTTTTGCAACATTTTTTTTCTGATTGGAAAAATAATACATGTTAAGTATAGCAGATTCAAATATTAGAGATTTCCTATAATATAAAACTGATCTCTCCTATAATTTTATCCTCTTTCCAGAGATAATTGCCATCAAGTTGCCTCCAATTTTTTCTTCAAACATATCTATTATTACCATTGATGGTAATTAAAAATGGATGCTTATGCATTTCTTTAGGTGAGAAAAGGCTTTTCAAGTAGCCCCAGCCCAGAGCCCCAGGAGACTCCACCACTTGCTGTAAAGATCTCTCCTTACTCGTGTCAGAGAAGAACCACTTTAAACAACTGCAACCACAGATTCACGGTAACGGGGCTTCACAACACCAGAGAAAATGCAGGGCTTTCAGCCCCTTCCTATGGATCTACAAGTTATGACATTTTCTGAAAAGCTAGGAAAGTTCTCCCCACACGCACCTCCCCCCAAAGCCAGAGCTATGTTTTTTCTTTCTGTCAAGAATGGGTCTCTTTCACTCATGGAAATGGACAAATATATTTGGATTATATTCTTTAGAGATGGTAGGTTACTGTTTGTTGAGAGCTGTCATTGTTGGCCACAATACTTGTCAAAGGCAAATAAATATTCTGAAAAATCAAATACTATAATTAGCCCAAAGCACAATAAGAGCAAATTCCATAGAATTAGCAGTAATGCATGAACAGCCTTTGCTGGGAAACCAGAAGACTGAGAGACAGCAGACCTAGATTCTCGCTTCTCTGATCTTAACTAGCTTGGGAAGTCAATTCCTCTCTCTGAGTCTCCGTTTCTCACTGTTCAATTAGAAATCAGCTAGATTACCTCTAAAGCCCCATCCAGCCCTGAAGTTCAGCAGTTGTGTTTCCCATGAGCCTAACAAGCCCACCACTGCTTGTCCTTCAGCTCAGAGTTCAGTCATCAGGTGGACAAAACATACAGTACTGTATGAAATACAAACTTCTCATCTCTAGCTTTCTAGCCCCACATGCGTGAGGAAGACCAGGAATTAGCAGCTACTGGGGCATCATAAGCACGATGCCACACAGCTGCAGCTACTTCCTCTTTGGCTAGAAGCACAAACATGCCCTACCTTAAATAACCCCAGCCTTGGGTCTGTGCCACCTGATTCCACCCGTCATTCAAAGAGCTTGTGTTAAGTGCTGACTATGTGCGTGTATGTGTGTGTTTTATGTACAAAATAAGAGATAGGGATACCCGGTGATCAAGGCAGAATCCTGGCTCCAGGCTAGTGGGAAAGTCAGCAAGCAAAGAGGAAAAGATTAGTAATGCTGAATAGTGACTAGTAGCATGCAGTGAGCATGAGATCATGCTTTAGTTAAGTCATTTCCGAATATCTTATGACAGTGAACTTGAAGTTTCCTTACAAAGCACTCTGCGGCCTGTCTTTCCAATTCAACCTCACTTGTCTAGTAAGGGAGGGGTGCAAAGGTATTGGAGACCCAATCCTGACCTTCAAGAAAAAGGTCAAGCAGCATTCCAATACTTACAGGGAGTAGGAGACATTTGCAAGTGAGCTCTGGCTCAGGGGCTAGGAAACAGGTTGTTTTATTCATCAGGTTTTATTCTTCAGGATGCCTTTGATATACTGGCTGAAAATTGTGAGTTTAGAGAAAATGAAGTCTCCTTTGTGACATATATGAGAGCAGCTTCTGTACTTAAATCTCTGCCATTCACAATCATCAGTATGAAGGATACAGAAGGAATTCCCTGCTTGGGGGACAAGGCGAAGAGTATCATAGAGGTAAGGGTGAAATGTGACTTGTCACACCTCCTGATAGGAAGATACATAGGTGGACAGGGACACAGAGTGGGAGAGAAGGGGCGGTGGGGGGGAAATAGGTATTTTTCTGTCAACTATGTAGATGTATTCATGACTTATTTTACTTTTGATAGATTAGATAGAAATAGATAGCAAGGTGATAGATTGATAGATGGTGGATCAATCGATAGATGATTGATAGGTAGATAGATAGATAGATAGATAGATAGATAGATAGATAAAGGTAATGCATATCCAATATTATGACAGCTGGAGCTATATGGAACCAGTTAAGTGGAAAAAGAACTCTCCTGCATTATTACTAATCACAGTGAAAGACCCAGGTGACCTCATATCTCGACAGCAAGGGGTGGTCTGACTTCAGACACAGGCTGGGTAAAGGGCCGCAGTTCCATCAGGGAACGTCGCCCTCCAGAATGGGGGTGGGTGTGAGAGGCTGTGAAGCCAATTCTGCATTTCCTCATGTATGTTTCAGGTAGAGAGCCAGGGGTGGGTGATTGTTTATTTAATGATGTTGAAGGATTCCCCAGCAAGGCAAGTTGGTCATCCAGGAGTATGTTTCAGTACAATCAAGTGCAAGATCACTTATTGAACAAAAATAATCCTAACTCTATCTGGAAGAGGGTGAGGTAGCTCTGAGCCAGACATCATAAGGCCTAGAAATTCGGATTGGCTTTTCACTAGGCCCAAAATTAATCCACTCAGATGAAAAGTCTTCTTTGTTTCAGCAAGTTCATGTGCATTCAAAAGAAAATTATCACAGATATCTAGACACACTTTGGTCAGTAAACGTTCTGGTGTTCTGGTTCTATAGATTTGGACCCAAATCATTCTGTACCTTTGTTCCCGAGGATTGAAAAGTGATCCTTGGAAATATAATGACCTGGGATTTTCAAGATTATAGGGAAATGTCTTGTTTTCTCCAGATAAGCTACAACAACATTGTCCACAAAATGGGTGTGCATTTTATGAAAAGTCAAGCTATTACATCTGCGAACTTCAGTGTCTTGGACTGTGACTGACCAACATCACTAATTTAAAATATTTTCCCTCTGTTTGTACAGGAAATCATTGAAGACGGAGAAAGTTCTGAAGTTAAAGCTGTGTTAAATGATGAACGATATCAGTCCTTCAAGGTAAGTGACTTTACAGATATTTATTGAAAATAGTTTTCCAGTTAATCCTATTACTTCTTGTAGGTGGTTGTATTAGTCTGCTTGGGCTGCTCTCACAAGACGCCATGGGTTGCTTACATAACAAACACTTCTTTTCTTAGTTCTGGAGGCTGGGATTCTGAGAGCAGCATGTCAGCATGGTTAAGCTCTGGTTGGGGGCTCTCTTCCTGGCTTGCAGGTGGAGTCCTTCTCAATGTGTTCTCCTCATATGACATAGAGAGAGAACAGCTCTCTGGTGTCTCTGCTAATAAGGGCACTAATCCCATCGTTTTGGCTCCATCCTCATGACCTCATCTAAAGCTAATTAATTACCTACCCAAGGCCCCATCTCTGAATACCATCATCTTAGGGGGTAGGACTTAAGCATATGAATTGGGGTAGGGGTGTATAATTCAGTCCATAGCAATGGTCTAGGATGCAGATGCCTAAATAAGTGTGGGAGCTGGAGCTTATTGCCCTGCTATGATGAGACACAAATTACCTTGCCTTCCAGGGCCTGCCATTCATGTGCACAGGCCTAGAAGGTGGCTGTGGGCAGGTGCCTGGGCTTGGAGTGCAGACAGATCGGGTTTGAATCTGGGCTCTGCCAGTTACCAGCTGTATGATGGTGGAGAATTTATACAACCTACATGCATGCCACTCTTTAGATGGTGAAGCTAAATATGCAAAGCACAAGTGAGTGTAAGGGACCCTTGGCCAAGGGGAGTGCCCGATGGGATAGCTGTTGTCACATGTTGGCAGCACAGGCCCTCCCATGAGCAGATTACAGGGAAGTCCTATGCAGATGCCAGAACCTGCCTCCTCATGTCTGTTTCATGTATCAGGAAAGGACCCCCTGAAACAAACATGTCTCTAATTACTATCAGCCACCCACCTGTCATATTCAAGAGAAACAAGGGTCAGAGATCTGTTTACACTTTTCTTATCCTTTGGCCTTGAAAAGTATCATTCATTGTCATGGTTATTTTAGAACTGAAAGCATGCCTTTCCTTCCCTTTCAGCTCTTTACTTCTGTATTTGGAGTGGGTTTGAAGACAGCTGAGAAATGGTTCAGGATGGGTTTCAGAACCCTGAGTAAAATAAGGTCAGACGAAACCCTGAAATTCACACGAATGCAGAAAGCAGGTAAATTGTGTCTCCTAAAAATCTCCCACGGTTCCCATAGGCTGGGCAGGTCCTGGTAGAGCTCTAAGTCAGTTGCATTTCAACTCTGATCTCTGTGAGCTGAATTGCTTGTTTGGCCATTTTCACGCTATGGTTAAAAGCAAACACTTTTGGAATCACACAGCCCTGGATCCAAATCCTGGCTCCAACATTCTGTAGCTATGTGTTCTTGAGTAAGTTTGTTAACGCCTTTGAGCCTAGGTTATTTCATCTGTAAAAGGGAGGGAACATTGGTACTTCAGTGGGAAATAAATCAAGTAATGCAGGCTAAGTCCTTAGCAATCTGCCTGGCACAGAGCAGATCCGCTCTTCATAGTGGTTGTTGTCGTTCCTTTATGTTCAGATGTCAGACCAGGTTGCACTGTTGATCTGGTTCTTACTGAACTGACCCTTCTACCCTCTGGGTTCTGGTTGGGTAGAAGGTGACAGTGTGGAGTCAAGGGTAGAAAGCTGACACGGAGGGTTGGCAAGTAATGAATATTTGAAGAAAGTAGAGTTGTTGCCTGACACAGTATGGATCTGGTTCAGAAACTGTAGAACCCCAGAACATAGAAGAGAAATAGTGGAAATCCAGGCACATGCTGGTCGCCCAGTCAGCCCTGTTAGTCTGAGAAGAGAAGACTGTGCTGACACAGGCACCTTGAGAGCCTGGTGGGAGCTCCTGGGGGTTGAAAGTGGCCGGACCACTTCCTTTTAGGAGGTCCTGGTAAACTTTTGTTAAATGAAGGAATGCCAATACACAGTAAAAAAAAATATTGTATATGTTTTAAATGTTTACCTTTAACATGCAATAGAAATACAATTTAATTGGGATTTGAAAGGACATCACATCCATAGTGTGAGACCTATGGCTCCTGAGTTACAGAGAATGATGAAATGATCAACATTTTGAATGATGTGAAGGTAAGGGGATCTTCTACAAAGGAGACTAGAAATAAGAGAAAATAGCCATCTTCTGTTTCAGTGATGAAATGAAACAAGCAGCAGGAGAGGAAATGAGTCAAACCTTGGTGGTTCACATCAGCACTGCTACAGACGACTCCTACTCGTCTCTCATCGAGTTGCTAACCTCTGAGGGATTGCTAAAAAGCTTTATAAGATGCCACATAGGAAATAAAAGAGTCTAAGGGGAAAAAAAGATCCAGTATTTATATTCTGAGCTGCTGAAAGTACACATTTAATAAGTGACGTACCCCAACCAGCCTTAGAGATGCCATTAAAAAGAAATTTACGTAAGTATTAAACATAAGGAATAGTTGGCTTGGAATGATAGTAAGGACTCTCAGCACACAGAAATTCTGGGTGGCAGTGTAGTGTCTGACTTAGATAAAAACCCTATCAGATGACCCTGAAGGCTCTCAGGATCTTAAGTTTCCAGTGCAGCAGCTTTGCAAGCTGGATTTTTTCCTCCCTACCCAGCTCTTCCAGCTCAATGAATGAAGCAGCCATCATTCACTTAATCAGTCAGTGATCACCAGCAGCCTGTTTAATACTCTTGTTTTATGCAGAACTCTGGGAATGCCTTTCTATTATGCTTATAGCTCAAAGCTCCTATTCATATGTATTCCTTTAGCAGCACAACAATAAATGAATTGTCAATGGGAATAGTTTAGAATACTGCAAAGGTAAGCTAACTAAGCTAATTGAGCATGCTGAAAGTGTGATCCATGGGTCCAACAGAAAACCTGATTCAGTTTTACTTATAGTTGTACTTGGTTTTAGTTCCCTGAGGCTTGAGGAGTCACATGCCACATTGGCCTTGAACAATCAAAATCTGAAATATAACAGCACACGTATAACATTACTCAGTGTATTGCTTCTCGTTATGAGTTAACCTCCCTGACTGTATATGCCAAAAAAGAAAGCGAGAAAGCCACTGAACTTGCTCTCCTGGTGTCAACAAATTATTATACTCACAGTCTCTCCGATTCCATTCCTGATATCTGCACATGTCCTTAAAGAATCTGTTGTCAGTCATGACTTTTGGCTGATGGACATCCTGAATAAGCCCAGTTTTATGGTTACCAAGTGAGCCGCAGTTTGAATGTCAGCCATGGTGATAAATTTTGTATCGATAAAAAGGCTAACAGAACATTGCTTTTTTTATTTTTTCACATGAATAAGTTATATATTTAGTTGTATTAAATTGATTTTTTATTGTGATAAGGGCATTTAATATGAGATCCACCCTCTAAAGTGATTTTTCTCCATTAGTATCATAATTTATTTACCCATTTCCTGTTTGTGCACATTTGGGTTATTTCCAGTTTTTGGTTATTATGAAAAAAATGTGCTATGAACATTCTTGTACCTGTGGAGATGTGTCCTAATTCCTCTTGTGCATAGACCTAGGAGTGAAATTGCTGGGTCAGAGCATAGATAGTTATTTACCTCTAGGGAATACTGCCCAGTAGTTTTCTGAAGTGGTCGAACCACTTGACACTCCCACTTGCACTGTCTGAGATTTTCTGTTGTTCCACATCCTCGCCTATACTTGCTATTGTCAACCTTTTCTGTTTTGTCTGTCCTGGTGGTGAGTGGTGTCATCTTATTGCAGTTTTAGTTTGCACTTCTCTGATGACCTTTTCAAGTGCTTTTGGCCAATTGCTCTTCCAAGAGGTGCCTGTTGAAGTCATTTTACCTTTTTGAAGAGGGTTGTTTAGTCTTTTAACTGTTGATTTGTAGGAGTTAGCTAATGTCCTGGACATAAGTCCTTGGCCAGATATATGAAATACAGATATCTTTTCATGGTCTGAAGATTTCTTCTTCACTTACTTAATAATGTCCTTTGATAAGCATAGGTTCTCATGTTGAATAAAATCCAAATTATCAATCTGTACATCATAGTTAGTGTTTTTTTTTATTCTGTGTTAGAGATACTTACTGACCCTCAACATCATGAAGAAATTTCCCGTTTTCCTTCAGAAGCCTTAATGAACGTGATGTGGATCATAGAATTTTGCAGTTCAGCCCATGATCCACATCACATTCCTTAACCAGTTTTTAAGTGCACAACAGAGTATTGTTAACAAAAGACAATGATATACAGCAGGTCTCTAGAAGACATTTGTCTTATGAGTGAAACTTTGGACCCACTGAGCCACAACTTCCCTGAAGCATTGTTTTTTAGATCAAACTCCCAATGCACAAAAATGTGCATATTGCAATAAAAAATGTGGCTTAAAATTGTTTTTAAATTAGAGAAAGTTTTAGGATATAAAAAACAAGAGTATCCCAGCAGCAGTGCAGTTGGGTGTTGGTCACAGCTAATAGATGTATCAGTGTAAACATCATCCTCTCTTGGTCCTGCCGACACATTTATGTGACCACCCTCATTTAGAGACATGTGATGTTTGGTTTTGAGAATTTTGTGACCACAAATGATGTTTAAACCAAATGACTTCCCAGCCTCCACCCTCCCATGATCCTGCAGGTGAGAAGTAAGGACCATTAGATTTGTTCCATGTCTTTCCAGAGGGCCAGTGGTGGGTGAGACTGCAAGGAAGGAGACTTAAGCTCATCAGAAGCAGGAACTTTGGATGCCCCCCCCATTTGAAGGGGGTCAAGAAGAATTAAGACCTACTCTCTTAGCAAATTTTAAGTATACCACACAGTCTTGTTAACTATAGTTAACACCATGCTCTCTGGTAGACCTCCAGAGCTCATCATCCTGCGTATCTGAAAGTTTGTGCCCTCTGATGAACATCTCCCTCTCTCTCTCTCTCTTTTTCTTTTTTAGAAATAAATGATAAAGATTTGTCCAAGGATCTTAGGGCTTGCAAACTGGTAACACAACAAGGCAATGCCCATAGTCTTCCAAAGAGGAAAGAAAAGCTGAGGGTTTTTTATAAGTGAGAAGTACATTCCCAAGAAGAGTCAGTCCTGCAAGGTTAGCCTGGTCTGAAATGGTGATCTTCTAGATGACTGGTGGTCTGAATACATGAACATTCTTCCCTGAGTCCTTCAGGGGGTATCAGAGAGTCATCTGAAACATTGGTATATCCAGGTGTTGGTGCAGGACTGGAAATTTCAAAAGTTTAAGTTCCCAAGCCAGTTAGAACAAGAATAGAATTATTTCCTCAGACCTCAACCTACTTGATTTTTTTTATTCCTGTTTATTCTATTACAGTTGTCCCAACTTTCTCCCTTTGCCCTCCTCCATCCACCCACACTCCTGGTCCCACAGTCCATCCCCACTCTGTTGTCCATGTCCGTGGGTCATCGATACCTGTGATGAACATTTCTCCGTTTTCCCCAACCCCCAACCCCTACACTCTACTTCTAGGAGTTAGACTTTTTCAGTTCCACATACAAGTGAGATCATGCAGCATTGTCTTTCTGTGAGACTTATTTCATTTAACATACTGTCCTCCAGTTCGTCTATGTTGTTGCAAATGACAAGATTTCCTTCTTTTAAAGGCTATATAATATTCCATTGTATGCTAATTAGCTTGATTGTGGTAATCACTTCACAATATGTATATATCAAAACATCACCCTGGAAACCTTAAATATTTGCAACTTTTATTTGTCGATTATTTCTTGGTGTAACTGAGGGGAAAAGAACTGTCTAAACAGACTTCACAGTTAAGAAATGGGCTGCCTCTGGAAATATCAGAGCCTCCCATTATTAGAAAGATCCAGGCAGAGTTTGAATGACTCCATCATGGGGATCCTAGATAAGACGGCCATGCCTGCATTGGAGAATAATTAGTCGTCCCTCAGGATCATCTCCCCTGCACCTCTCCTCTCCTCTCCTCCAACACTTCATCCCAAATCTTGGAGATCAGGTTTCCATCTCCTTTACTCCTTCGCTCCATGCCACCCTCCATGGGTCTGGGGAATAATCAGGTCATTATAACAACTCTTCATCATAATAATCCTGTCTGAGCTATCATTTATTTATGGTGGTCAGACAAAGAAGCAACAAGCCAAACCACCAAAGATGTTTTGCACCTCAGATGCAAATCTGCCCTCTCCCTGTTCTTAACTTGAACTTTTTAATTCGTCTGTCACCTTCCAACCCTGAGCCTTCCCATCCCAAAGCTTTGTGCATTGTCTTCTTTAAACAATAGAGTGCAGCTTCTTAATCAAGAGGACTAGTTCTTCATATGGGAAGTCAGATTTGAACCACTTAGTTTCTACAGAGATATGCAATATGGTCTCCTTCTTAGTTAGGAAGTTGTGAGCCTCCCAGTCAGAAAGCAAAGAGCCATTGTCACCAGGAATAATTCACCACCTAGAGAACAGAAGTAACTCATATCTGTGGAACAGGCTGGCACTGTTGTCTGTAGCCATGTTGGCCACATGTGGGGGCGGAGGGCTGGTCACTTCACACGAGATGTGTCACTCTCTCCATTGACCTGTCCGCTGGCCTCTCAGGGTTCCTCTATTATGAAGACCTCGTCAGCTGTGTCACCAGGGCGGAAGCAGAGGCGGTCGGTGTGCTGGTTAAAGAGGCTGTGTGGGCATTTCTTCCTGATGCCTTTGTCACCATGACAGGAGGGTTCCGGAGGTAAAAAATGAAGGGTGCTTTTTGCCTCCTCTGCTCTAACACCTTCAGTGGCTCCCTGTGTTCAGAAATTCAGGCTTCTGAACATGGCACATAAGGTCTTTGGCCTCTCCCTGCAGCCCCGGTTCCTATACCTCAAGTTTTACTCCAGTGACCCAATGGCCCATCATGCCCTGCACACATATAGCTGTCTGTTGCCTCAGCTGGACCCTTCTGCTTGTGCTGGCTTTCCTCAAATCATCATCTGGCTAATTTCTTCTCATCCTTTAAGATTCCATTCAGATGCCATCTCCTCCAGAAAGCCCTCCTTGACTCCCTCCTTCCCATGCTGGGGTAGGCACCCTTCCTCTGTGCTTGGACAGCTGCCAAGTAATTTGTTTGCATGCATGCTTTCCCCACTAAGTTTTTAGAGCTTCGTGTTCAGTGAGAACCAGTGCCTGGTGCCTTGCGCAAAGTAGGCCCTCAAAAACATTGGTTGGGTCAATGAATGAAAGAATGAATGAAGGAATGAACTCCCCACAGAGATGTGTGCAGTTGTTGGATACTGAAGCTTCCATTTTCAGAAGAGATTCCTTCCCCTTCACACCCTCCCCTAACTGCCCTTTTGGCTGTCTGACATGGTGCTGTAGGCTGCTCTGGCAAGCTGGGTTTGAGGTGAGAAAAAAAGTGGAAAGACAAGATCAATTTAAGAAAATGCCCTTAGTCAAGTCCTAATTTCAGGAGCCCCATCTTATGTTATGTGAATATAGTTCTTGGTTTGCTTGTCACCACACTTGTCTCTGGGCGTTGGGGGGTGTGGCGAGAGTGTGAGTGCATAGAAGAAATAATCTTCTTTATCACTTTTTACCCACATACACATGATCATATATATGTCTGTTTTTTTACTTTTACGTGTGTCCTAAATTTATTTTGCAAGGTGTGGAGTTGTGCAACCAAGGGTATTTTGCTTAAAAAAAAAAGTCAGGAGCACTTTGGGCTGCAAACCTGAAGCACAGGTGTGAAAACAAAGGTGACTGTTAAAAGTTGAGAGCTAAAAATCTAACTTATTTCTATATTATCTTGTTTTGTAATCAGGGGTAAGAAGATTGGGCATGATGTAGATTTTTTAATCACCAGCCCAGGATGCACAGAAGAAGAAGAACAACAGCTTTTACCTAAAGTGATAAACTTATGGGAAAGGAAGGTAAGAAGAAAAATCAAAAGCGGGTGTTTGGGCACTCAGGCACTATTACACTAATGCCATTGAATTTTGCACACTATCTCACAATCATAGAGTGACTAACACTTCTCAATTATTTGCAACAGCCAACACAGTGCTACGTGACATGCAATGAGACATACCCACTTTGGGTTCTAGAGTCGGTGTTATGAATATGTATCTTACTTATACACACCAGTCCTGTTACCAAAGGAGTGAGGTGGATATGTGTCTGTGTTGGACATGCAGAGGCATTCAACCCTCCTACAAAATGAAGAGCATGCTCAGTGAAGACCTGGGAGGTGTGAACAGGGTAGAGCAAGTGTTGGGGCTGGACAGGACTGCTAAGACCAGGATAAAATCAGTCTAAGAGGTGTCGCTGGCTCTTAGAACTCTATTCTGGTCAATGACCACCTTGACCTTGTGCTGAGATGGAAAAAGGAAGCCAGTGAGGGTCAGCTGGGCCCAGGGGAAGTCTCAGCCCAGGGGCTCTCATCCATTGAGGAGGCCAGAGTAGCCACAGACTATCTGTGGCTCACCGGAGGAAGCTAAGGATGACCCTGTGGCCAGAGCTACCTGTGGGCCCTGACTCCCGCCAGACTCCAGTGGGAGCTCCACTTGCCAGAGAGACTGGAAAGCCCTGTCCAGGGGCCCGGAGCAGGCCGGGGCACAGCTCCACCCCTGAGTGGTCTAGCCTCTGCTGTGGGTGGACTAAGCTCCCTGCTGTGCCAGAGAGAGAAGCCCTCAGATAAAGTAAAAACAAGAATTAGAAACACCCAACCCTGGAGCCAGGAGCACCGGAAGTGAAGACCCAACTTGGGAACCACATCCCACTTCACCTGTGAGTCCATCCCTAACCTTGTCAGTCCCTCTCAAGAGAGTGGACCCAGGTGGCCAGGGGCCCTGAGAACGAACGGAATAGACCAAGCCAGGGGAAGGCGGGAGGAGGAAGAATCAGCTGCACCTGGGCAAGCCCTGCCGCTCTGCTCAAGCAGGAGAGATGGAAGCTTTTCACGGATACAGAGCACAAGTCATGGACCCTGCGGGCCGAGGCCTGGTGCAGAGGGCGCAGCCTGGCCCTCCACCCTGGCGCTCCCGAAAGACCTTGGTTTGACCTTGGTTTATAGGTATCACTCTCATGCTGAGACCATCTCAGCACAAGACGGGGATGGGGGTGGACATGGTGACAGGGAGCTTTTTTCCCCATCGGTCTTTCCTCAGTTCAAGGCAGTCACACTGCTGGCCCCTGAGCAAAGAATGGACAGGCACCTGTGGAGACCAACACTGAGCACGTGGCACTGAGCCATTTACTGGCTCTGTGACCTGGGACGCTTTATTTACCCTTTCCAAGCTTGTCTTTCCTCATCCATAGAAGGGGGACAACAAACTTCTCCCATTTCATTAATGGGGGCACCAACTCAGAGAATTAGATAAAGCACTTAGCACAGGGCTTGATAAATGGCTAGTACCTGGTGGCTGTCATCTCAGCTCTCCTGCAGTCCCTCACTGAACTCTGCCAGGGAGCCAGGCCCTGAGCCAGGTGAGGGGATCCGGAAGAGAGCAGGCGCAGCCCCTCGCCCCCTCTCGTTGACAAGCAGGAGGGGACATCGTGGGGCAGCTCTGTCTGCACCCCGGCAGCCCCAGGCCTGCCCCCAACACCTCGGCTGTGAAATCAGCACCCAGGTTCTTCACGTTTAACCTCCACCTTGACCTCACTCCTCATTCTGCTGTTCTTACCCCAAACTGCGCTTTCCAGATGATAAAAATGGTCTCCCGCACGGGCACACAGGGGCACCTATCGCACTACGTCCCGAGTGCACGCCCAGTGTTTGGAACACCTGTGGGCATAATGGCAGCCCGGGGGTATCGGCTTGAGCCGCCCGTCAGATGAATGTAAACAGGATCCTTGTAGAAGGCCCCTCGGCCAGGGGCGGGGGACAGGGGGAAAGGAGCTGGGAAATACTGATCTTTGGGGGGCATCTCCACCCCAAAGGCTCCATCAGCCTGAATCCCACTGCCCACCAGCAGTTCAACCCAAAGCAGGCAGGGCCGAGTGTAGTTTGGGTTCACACCGGGGCCCCTGACTGTTCCCAGAGGCCACTTCCCCAGGTTGTGAAACTGCCAAGATCGACAGTAATGCCAATCATTCCAGGAAAGGATGCATCACCTTGAGAAACAGACTAGACTTGGACTAGGGGCCGCCGACTCTTACGAGAAGGGGTTGGAGGGAACTGAAACCACAGAGTGGACAGATCCTCACCCGCAAATCTGCCCCCGGCTCCAGCCTTGCCACCCTCCCTGCTCCGTGACGGAGCCTCCCTCTTTGTGAGCGGAGAGGCGGAGAGCCGAGCACATCTCTCCGGCCCCTGTCACCTACCCGGGAGCAGGCTGCTCTGTCCCCTGGTGGGGTGGGGGGGCTAGCAAGGGGCCGGAAGTGCCTCCCTCCTTGTTAGGAGTCTCTCAGTTCCTGTAGGAAAAAAAGGGACAGGCTGATGTGAAATCCAGTCCACCTGTGGGTGTTGATGGGGAAGCCGGAGCCCAAACCATCAAGGGAGTTTTCAAAACAGGAGAGAAGTTACCTAAAGAGAATAGGGCTTAGCGGGTGGGGAGGCAACAAGGAAGGCAAGACTGCAGAAAACAGAGATGCCCCGGACAGAGCTCGGGAGGCAACCTCGGGGGTCCTGTGGGTGCTGACAGCCGTGCCCTGTGCAGATGGAACCGGCTGGCTGCAGGGACAGGAGCGTGCCACTCAAGGGACGTGCCTCAGACTCCAGGCAAAACTCAAAGCGAAGCCCTGCCCAGGGGCGTCCAGCCCAAGTGTGGCTGCCGGGTGGTGATGGTGTGGACGGTTTACAAGTACTAGGGAGCCAGCTTTGTGGATTTTTTTAAAGGGGGGTGTTATGGCAAATTTGACTCCAAGGTGAGACTTTTTCATGTTGTAATGACTCATTTTTCAAATGTATAATTTAAATTTACATGAAATGCTGCTATACCATCCTAATTGTAGTAAGTTCCATTAAAACGTGTCATTGTGATTTCCCAAGCTGATCATTCGATATATCTATGGCAAGATTTGTCACTTCTTTCTGAGGCTCTTCCTGATATCGGTGCTACCCCACCCAGCCCCCCACTTTCAAATGGTGGTGTTCTTCTTAATACCTTTCCTCAGGAGGCACTGAGGAGCAGAGGTGAGGAACTCCTGGGAGTCCCCTCTTCAGAGATCAGCAAGAGGAAAAGTGTCCGCTGCTCAAAGCATGCTGTCGAATTGGAACAATGTCTCATGTGGGGGGTGCAGAAGAGATGTGCATCTCTAATAATAATGAACTGAATCAGCAATGCTCAAAGTGTGGTCCTTGGACCAGCATCATCAGCACCACCTGGGAATTTGCTAGACTCGCACATTCTCATCACCCCTCCCCACACTGAATCACTCTGGGGACAGGGCTCTGCAAACTACCATAACAAACCTCCCGAATGCGCTTGATGCTAGGATTTGAGAACATCTGAACTAAAGAATGCATGATAGGTTACACACCCCAATGACTGTGATTGAATTATTTTGAGGTTATTTGCTCTTTTAGCTGCCACTCAGATTCAGCAGTTAATCGCATGATTCCGCACCCCTCTGCCCCCCGTCTGCCCTGTGCCACAAGGAATTCGATGGGGCAGCTCCGTTGGAGGGTATCTCTCAGAAGTGGGGGGTAGATTCTCTGGCAGCTCTGACATGAAGTGGCCTTGGCTGGGCCTCTCTAACTGCCAACTCCCTCTGCTGCAGAGGGAAGGTAGTGCACCCACGCCTCGGTTCCTCTCAGAGTGTGGCCAGGTGGGCTCAAAACTCAAGGACAAAACACACCCACGTGCAGCTTGAATCTGAAAAGCTGTTGTTAAGAACATTCACTAAGAGCCTAGTCTAAAATCTCGGACCCTGTCCACTGGGGACTCTTCCTGATGTCTTTGGTTTTTTTTTCAGGGATTACTTTTATACTATGACCTTGTGGAGTCGACGTTTGAAAAGTTCAAGTTGCCTAGCAGGAAGGTGGATGCTTTAGATCATTTCCAAAAATGCTTTCTGATTCTAAAATTGCACCATCAGAGAGTAGACAGTGGCAAGTGCAGCCAGCAGGAAGGAAAGACCTGGAAGGCCATCCGCGTGGACCTGGTCATGTGCCCCTACGATCGCCGAGCCTTCGCCCTGCTGGGCTGGACCGGCTCCCGGGTAAGCTCTACCTGGATCCAAGGGACAGCAGCCCAGGGGACTGACAATGGCAGCGGGGCCCTGGGACAGGAGGGGGCAGTGCCTAGAAACCTCTAAATCGTGCATTCCACCTGCACACAGTCAAGAGAGAGAGATTAATTTAGAGCAGTTACTCTCAAAGCGTGGCCCCTTGCCCAGCAGCGTCAGCCTCACCTGGGAACAGGTTAGACGTGTAAATTCTCCACCCCAGACCTACTGAATGAGAAACTCTGCGGATAGAGCCCAGCAACACATACTTGAAAAAGTCCTCCAAGGGATTCTGATGCAGCGGAAGTGTAAGAACCACTGAAGGGGAGAAAGCAGCATGGTGGCTAAGAGCACAGGTGTGGCTAAGAGCACAGGTGTGGACATCCCGGCCCTGGTCACAAGTCCTTGCATTGCCTCTTAGCAGCTCAGTGATCTAGGACAAGTTCCCTATGGCTCTTAAGTCTTAGTTTTCCCCTCAGAAAGCGAGGGCGATGACCTCCCTGGTTCCCAGGGATTTGGTGAGATGAAGCCGGCAGCTCCTGGCTCCCGTCACTATATATTCACAGAGATGGCGCTCGTGAGCTGGGTCTCATTGGCACATGCTCCACCCTTTGGACAAAGTCCCCCACACTGTTGCCCCAAAGCAGCTGGCCCTCAGAGAAATGAGTCCTTGGTGGTTTTCATATGGAAGATGAATGACAGGACACAAGTGAATTGTCCTCGACCTTGAGTTCAATGTCAGGTGTCTTCACTTTGGGGCTGGAATTATCCCAAGCCCCCAAACCACACCTGGCTCATAATAGATGCTCAATGAATGTTTGTCAAGTAAATACCGTGGCTCTCCAAAGGAAAGCCGTCATTGCAATTGCTAACAGTCTATGGGAAAATGCTCCTAACATGCTAAAGCACAGGAGTCCAGGAATATAGCTCTCGCCACACAGACGTGGGGAGCCTAGGGCAGCCTCTCACCCACTGCCCCCATTTTCTGCTCCAGACTCCCCCTCACACAGCGAGCAGCCAGTATTCTGAGTTGGGGGGACCAGAGGCATGGCCCAGGGCTGGGGAGGACACCCAGTGCTAAGCAATACCCCACTACTTTTGCAGACCAGCAACTACAGCACCCAGAATCTGCTTCACCCCGGTTTTTCCACAATGCGGGCTTCCCCTCTGCTTTCCCCTCCGGTTGGAAAGTCTCTCTTCTCACACACCCAGGCGATGGTCTAGAAAGGCAGTTCCAGCTTCAGCGAGCTTTCCTGTAATATAAACAAAACAAAACCCCAAAACCGGTTCCCCGCCACTAGAGGGCGCAAATGCCACATGCTTTCACCCAATTCTCGCACGGAAAAAAACAGTATTTCTAGATTTATGCTTCTCAGGGAAATTAACCTCGATGAGAATTTCATTGATGGTCCTCCTGTTCCAAGGCTTTCCTGTCCTCTAGCTTAGGCTTCAGGTTTTGCTCCCTGAAGCTTCAGAGCCCACCCCCGGTCTTCAGAGATGCTACTTGGGAGCAGGTGGCTCAGACCATCAACTTGACTGCATCTCCTGTGAGAGGATGTCAGAGCCAGAGGTGACCTTGCTCACTCACTTCTTCCGTGGCTCTGTTGGACCAGCCAGGATTCAGAGGGGCTTGGCGACTTGTCGAGAGATGTACAGCCAGATAGGGACAACCCAGGCTGGAATCTGGGTCTCCTACCTTCTTATCCTCTCTTGAAACAGTGATATTCCAAATTACAAACAAACAAAAACCCCAGCAATTATGTAACTAGCATTTACTCTGGACCTCACAGTGTCCATTTATTCATTCAACCAACATTTGCCCTACATCTTCTCTGTGCCAGGAGCATCTGAGGAGGAATATAGTTACAAGCAGAACCAGCTGGGTTCCTGTTTTCACAGAGCTCACATTCTAGTGCAAGCATGTGAGAAAATCACTTCAAGAATGTTTAGCAGAGTTTAATTTTATGTCGTGGAATGTTTAGTGTAGAGAGATATTTCAATTTGGGGAGTTAGATATCCCTAAACATGTAATACTGAAGACGCTGTAGACTCAATAGTAACCTATTTTATTTCTCTCTTCTCCAGCAGTTTGAGAGAGACCTCCGGCGCTATGCCACGCACGAGCGGAAGATGATTCTCGACAACCACGCTTTGTATGACAAGACCAAGGTAGAGATGTCTCCCTGACCTGGGTGGGCTCCTCTGACCCGCACCTCCAAGGCTGGCTCCCAGCACACTTTTCCTGAGCTGATGCCAGTGTCCAGTTTCGGTCTCCTTTGCCTGGAGTGTCCTGTGCCCACAGATCACGGCCCAGGGCAGCTGGGAAGGTCCTGGCGGGAGCACAGCCCCCCACCCGGCCCAGAATGCAGTGAGCTCAGGAGCACTGAGCTCAAAGATGGTGAGCTCGCAGGGTCCCCAGAACCAGCCCAGCAGCAAACATTAACTTAGTGTATCCTCGGTGTTTGCAATGAGTAACTCCAAAGAAAACCAAGGATTTCACCAGGTCACAAGCACCGTTCAAGTACTCCTTGAATGCAGTAGGCAGTAGCACCAGGAGTGGTCACTTCGGTTGGTAATGAGAGTCACTGTAAGGAGGGGAGCCACAGAGCTGCCCTGAGGTGGCACTGAGCTGTCAGCAAGGCTCACTCACCAGCCATGTTACTCATTTGGCCTGCTAAGCCTTGCAGTGGTCACAGTCCAAATTCATGCTTCAGCAAAACAGTAAATTACTGTATCAGTTATGAAGAGTAAATCATTCAACTGTTAAATCCACAAGTGCCATGGTCTACTGTTCTTACAGTGGCCAAGGATACTAAACTAAGCTCTGAGGGGAAAGGAAACATAAAATAACTAAAAGTAATAGTCTTTGCCCTCTGGGAACCAATAGTCTAAATAAGGTGTATTTAGAATGAGCTGTCTCAGTTACAAATGTCAGAAACCCAACTGAAAATGGCACAGACACAAAAGAGAAATTTGGTTTATATATTGCAGCATCCAGGTAATATTGACTTCAGGTGTGGCTGCATCCAGGCACTCGGGCAGGCTTCGCTCCAGGTTGTTTTCATCCTTAGGCAGGGTTTTCCCAGGAGCCCCACCTGTCCAGCTTAGCTCCCCGAACAAAGAAGAGCCTCTTTCCGTGTAGTTCCAGCAAGAGCCCCAGCTGATGCTCACTAGCCAAACCTGGACCATGTGCCCATCCTGAACCCATTCCTGTGGCTCTGATTGGCCAGGTTTGGACTATGTGCCCCTTTGTGGAGGCAAGATCAGCCCCACCTGACCCTCAGGGACTGAGAGTGGGTGTGTCAGGGTTCCCAAAGAAAAACCAAGGTGCTCTTGTCAGAAGAGAGGGCTATGGATGCTGGCAGGATGTGGAATGGGTGCGTGGAGGCAGAGTCACATAACCCGATTTAGGAAAACTTACACATTAACGTTCAACATTATTGAGTGTCTCTTGTGTGCCCAACACTGAGGGGTGGAGGAGCAGTGGTGTTCGGTCTTAAAGAGACCATGGGGTGGGAGCCTGGTGGGGGTGAGGGCAGATGTGGAAGGCCAGGAAGAGAACCCAACACATACAAGTATCTAGATCTTGCCACTCTTCATTACCTGTAGCAGCAGTAACTTATTTTGGTGGCACTTTAGAATTAACTGGAGCTCTCAAACAGATTCATGACAATGAATCATGAAATCAGAACTCCCCTGAGATTCTGATTTCATTAGACTGGGGTATAGCTCATGCTTCAATATATTTTTTTAAAAACTTCTTCAGGTATTTCTCATGAGCAAGTGTGGTTAAGAACTACAGATCCATGGGGAAGATACCAAGTGCTTTTAGCTGAATGTGTGAAGCTGTCATCATTTTACTTTAATTTATTAAGTGCCATATTTAGGGGTGGGAAAACAAAAATTATAGAAGTCAGTTAAGATGACTTTTAATGCTCAGAAGTGGGGAGTTATGTTGTGGCAACAATCATTTTGACAAGACAGTTTTACAAGTAAAACGTTCGCTGTGTGAGCCTTGAGATGCTTAGCCGAAATATCTGAATGCACATGTTCCTTGTTATGATTTCAGAGGACATTTCTCGAAGCAGAAAGTGAAGAAGAAATTTTTGCACATCTGGGATTGGATTACATTGACCCGTGGGAAAGAAATGCCTAGAAAAATCTGTCGACATGTAAGAATTTTTTCAGGGTAAACAAATACGCTTCATGTTGCAGAGGAAGATGCTTGAGGAGAGTTGGGGCGTCTGTAAGTCTTCCTGAAATGCACGATGCTCCCAGAAGTAAATAGTTTTGGAAACCTGATAAGGCACCCCCTGGTACTGGGTGATACACTCATAGGCCATTTGTATGACCGCTGCTTGGAATTCACAATGCATTTTGCCATAGAAACAGTGTTGTAATTGGTGGCTCCTTTCCAGGGAAGCTCATCAAAGCCCACTGTGCCCACAGTGTAGCTGAAATACTGGGGACTTCCAATAAAGATAGGATGACACAAGGTGGTGGAGTCTTCTTTGTTCACGCAAATGCAAAATACTTTTAAACACAAATACAGAATGACAGAATAAAGAGTTTAACATTTATCTCAAGGGAGAAGGAGGCTTCATTAGATCAGACATTCCCAGGCAGAAATCATGGAACCAGGAGGTCAGGGCTTGTTGCCTTAAATCCAGATCTTTCCTTCATCACCTCAGCCTCTCTCCGAGAGGTCTGGAATGACAATGCCCGCGATAAAGGGCCAGTCATCACATCAGTAAGAGGGCTGCCACCTGGAGGGGAGATGGACATTATAGGCTTAGAAACAAGAGAAAGCTCTGTGGGCCTTGAGGCCAGGAAGCCTTCACAGAGGAGGGGTCTCAGTAGGTATGAGATCATGGGAGGATTCGGATCCATACTGTTTTTTGCTCTAGAATGAAATTTTATCAGTTAGTGTGGTGACTAGTTAGGGGAACGCAGAAGTCCCAAATGCCACCTACTTTGAGTCAGAGCACCCTCTGGTGTCAAACAGAAGAACCTTTGGAGGCTAGTATGATAAGATCATGGCGAATCAAGGAAGAAGCCCAAGAATATTGAGCAGGGCCTTGGAGACCTTGTAGTCCATCCAACTCGTTCTACAGATGACAAACCAAGATCTAAGGAGAGGCACTGGACTGCCTAATATCGCACAGTTAATGCCAGAGCTTTTGTTGATTCAGCAGAGGATATGCACACATGTCTGTGTGACCTTGGACAACTTACCTAACCTCTCTGAGCCTCCATTTCCTCTTTTGTAAAATTAAGATGATAATGGTTTCTCGACTTACACCTGCTGGAGGATTAAATGAGGAAATGCTGTAAAGTGCTTGCTTTGGGATCTTTTGGACTGGGAAAGATCAAGGAATAAGTTAATAATGACCCTGGGAGGAGGGACATTTAAGTACACTGTCAATACTTGACTTCTAGGCTTCCTCCACTGGCGAGTACTGATCCCCTGAAGCCGAAACAGGAGGTAGTGAGGATTAGGACCAGTGTCCTGGCTGCTGGGCTCCCAGACCCGAGGCTGCCTGCACCTGGCCAGCACCAGCTGCACCCGCTGAGACCCTCTGGGCACCGGGCTGAGGGCAACAGAAGGCAAAGGCCCAGCCCCATAGCTCCGGAGCTTCTTGGAAGCCAAGGGCTACTTTATGGGGACTTTAGGTACTTCCTGACCTTTTCCTCCTAGGGACAGGTGGGAGCCACAGTGCGAGTCATTTTTATATGTTAAATGTACTTCAAATTTTTTTCTTTTATTGTTGACACTATTACTGATGTCCCCCATTTTCTCCCCTTTTCTCCCTTCCGCCAAGCCACCCCCCCAGCCTTCACCACATTGTTCTCTGTGTCCACAGGCTATGCATATTTGTTCTTCGTCCAGTCTCTTCCAGTCCCCCCTCCCCCCTTCTGAGATCTGTCCGTCTGTCCCATGTATCCATGCCTCTGGTTTTATTTTGTCAGCTTATTTTGTTCATTAGAGCCCATATATGAGTGAGAGCATATGATCATTTTATTTTTTACCAGTCAAGTCACATCACCATAGGTATTTCAAACTCTCCCCTCCAGCACATATATCAACCCCATAACAGCACAGAAACACTCCCCAGCTATTGATTAAACTCATTATTCTTAACCCTTCATTTCCTGCAAACTTAAATCATCCTCACAGTAATTTGCTTTACAATCTCCAGAACCAATAAAATCGCCTTTGCAGAGCCTTATTTTCCCTACATGTAAAGCGGGAGTAGTAACACCTACACCCGAGAGAGAGCCTATTTTAAGTCTTTGAGCCTAGAGGGAAAACGCCTCAGTGAGAGCTTTCCTAGTAGTGTTTCCTTGAGTGGATAGGAGGTTCCCTGTTCATTTGGGTGGAGAGACATCTCCAGAAAGCCTAGTGGCCTTTAGCTTTGTTATGATGTCCCCCATGCCGTCATAGGACCTAGCAGACCATCAGACATACGAGGGCAGCCATGCGTATTTGTTACACTGACTCATGCGCTAACTGATGAAGCTCCCTAGCGTGGTGGGAGTACAAAGACCGTCTGAGTGGTCCATGCTTCAGAAGTTATTCATTAATGGTTTTCCATCTTTCATTGACATTACAATGTTATGTGATGGATGCCACAAGGACAGCTACACGAAACTATTGCAGAGTGCAAGAGAAATAAACCTCTCTCTCCACCTGCAAAGCCTCTTGGGATACAGACCTCAGAGGATACAGAAATCTGAGCAGGGAGGTGGAAGGGGAGGACTTACTTTGTGGGCTTTGGAAAAATAAAGGCAGGACGTTTGAGTTGGGGAGATGTAACCTTACAAGCCAATCTCCAAACCAGATGACACATAAAAAAAATGAGACCAAAACACACTGTGCAACTGGCCCTGGGTTGTTCCTGAGGTCGCGGTGGATTGGGGAGCCAGAGCTTCTGACTTCCCGTCTCAGCACTTTCCGCACAGTGTCGGCCCTCTGGGAGGGACTGAGCACCCACCATCAGCCCAACAGAGAGAACGCCAGCCTCAGGAATCCCCTGGAATGACCTCAATTCCAACCCCAGGGCCAATGCCATACCCTTTAATACGGGCAAAGAAAAACCACAGGCATGTTATAGGTCCAGAAGAACAATTGTTTTACTTCTCACTTTATTCCAAAATAAATTCTGTGCATTGTGACAGGAAAAAAAATGACAGAAATAATGAACCTTGCTAGTTTGGTAGAAACAATTTGAAATAAAGATCTTCAGCAATGGAGTGTAAGTGGAATTAAAGTAAATGGTCCGAAATGTAAGTCACACCTCATTTTATAGACAAAATGACCAAATCTGTTTGTCAAGGTGACTGGACCCAGGGGACTTGGGGTAAACCTGAATCTCCCAAGGGGCTGTGTGACTCACGGGTGGGCATGCAGCAGTGACTGGGCTTGTGGAACCTGCCCTTGGTTATCTGAAGGAGAGGGGTGTGCTTCTGAGCAACCAGGGGCCCTGCACGAGGAAGGCGTGTTCCCACCGCGTATCGAGGTGGTTTGTGGAACGGGTGGAAGGACTCAGAGACATCCAGACCCAAGTTCTCCCATCAGGAGACCCAGCCCTCTCCTGAGCAATAGCCCCGGGGGGCAGCCAGGATGCCTGGGAGCCTCCTCACAGAAGCCATCGATGGCGCAGGCCTGGCCCCAGCCGGCTGTCGCTGTCCACAGGCTCCCCTCAGATGGCAGGCACACTGCTCCTTGGACCACCCCTTTGGCCCGGAGTTCACGCGCTCAGAGTCCTCTGGATCTCTCTTCTTGACAATGAGTTTTTCCCCCACGAAAGTCCATGAACTTGGGCTTTTCTCTCTGCTCCCATGAGATGGGTATAGCCTCATTTCTGAGAATAATCTGAAGCATCTCTGCCTTCCCACCACACTGTTTACCCTGTGCACACACACACACACAGAGCCCATTGCAGAACCGCCTTTCTTGAATGTCGCCTGGTCGAATAAACGAGGGAGCAATGGGTGGTCCGACCGTGTGGGCCCCCGGGACCGGGGGCATGTGTGGCCCCAGAGGACTTCTGCTGTGAGATATCAGAAATATGGGACTGTGTCCCCTTGTACACCCCATTTAAACTTCATATGTATACCACTTGGGCCTTGGCTAACCCTCCCACAGAAGCTAGGTCTGATGTCTTTTGGGAAACAGGGTATGAGAAGACAAGACACTTGGATATCGAGCCCCTTTCCCCAAATCTCACACACGCACACACACGCAAATTCCCACTGTGGTCAGGAACAGGACCCAAGGGCTCCTTCTGGATGCACAGGGATGTCACCTGGTGCTTTGCTACTCATTAAACCACGAGATCTGAGAGTTGGGATGAACCTTGTCAGATCTGTCCCCTAAAGAGACAAATCAACGAAAAGTTTTCCAGATCTGCCCGTGAAATCTGGGTGGGTTAAGAAGCAGCTCAGCATCTGTCCCCGCTCCAAGCACAAACCCCTGGGTTTCCAGCTCTGTTCCAGCTCTGTTCCAGCTCCAGTTCTGCTGTCTGGCCGAGCTGCGTCACTCCAGGCTCAGCCTGGGTATGAGCCACCACAGTGCCCTCCCCTTCTCTCCATTTCTGCCGCAGGACGGGCAGTGTCCCGTACGGGCTGCTCGCTCTCCACTATCGTCCTCACGTACACGTGAGCTTCTTCCGCTCCCATCACATCCCTCTCACGGGTGGGTGCTCTCCTAGGATTCTTGAGGACACAAACAAGTTTTAACAAGTAAATACAGCAAAGACCTCTGTGGCTGGCCAACCTGGAGAAACAACAACCAGATTTACCCTCCCACCTGCCGCAACCAAGTTTCAGACAAACCATCTAAAACCATAGTTTTTAAGACACTGGAGGTCGGGCCAGGAAGGACAGGGATCCCTGAGAGATGGAAAGCAAGGACAGGCCCACGCCTGCCGGAGCTGGCTGCCGCGGGAGGGTGTGCAGTTCACGTGGCCCTCTTTCGCTGAATGTCAGCGTGGTGTCTGTTTTCCTGCCCTTTCACTTTCACCCTGCTGGCGTCTTCATCTCTAAAGTGAGTCTGAGCAGGCAATGCAGAGCTGTGTCTGGGCTTTATATCCAACTGAAGATCTCTGCCTTTTAACTGAGGTGTTTATATCAACCACATTTAATGGGATATTGACATGCTTGGTTTTAAATCTTGATACTTGTTTTCTATTCCATCTGTTCACATTACTTTGTAAATCGTTTTTCTCCAATATAGAGTTTAGAGGTACCTTATTTAAGATCCATGAAAATAATCTGTTGGGATTTATACTGAAATTACATTTATTACGTAGACTAATTTTAGGTCATTTGACATCTTTATGCTACTGAGTTTTCCTACCCAGGAGCATGGCATATACCGATATTCCCATTATTTGGGTCTTATTTAATATCTTTTACTAAAGTTTTATTTTTCTCCATAAAGGGATTATATGTTTTTCTTAGATTTATTCCTCAGCATTCTATATAAATTTTTATTGCCACTGCAAATGGTATTTTTAAAATTTACTTTTTCTAATTCTTATTGATTTTTAGAAATGCAAATTACTTTTGTGTACTAATTTTGCATCCAGTGAACTTATTCAAATCATTGGATAATTGTAACAATGTATCTGTAGCTAACCACATCATCTGAAAACAGTGAAAGTTTTGCTTCCTCTTTTTCAGGCTCATACTTCCTACTTCTTTTCTCATCTGACTGCACCGGCTGGGACCTAAAGTTCAGTGTTGACTAAGGGGTACTAGTGAGCGTCCTTGGTGTACTTCTGATTTTAAAGAGAATTCATTAATAATTTACCCTTAGGTATGATGTTTGATGTAATTTTTTTTCAAAAAACCTCCATTCAATTTAAGAAAGTTCCTATTCTGTTTTTAGTTTGCTAAGAGTTTTCACACCATAAATGACTGTTACATTTTTTAAGTCTTTTTTTCCTACTGAGATGGTCACACGATTTTTCTCTTTTAACTTGTCGGTAAAATAAATCATATTAAATTGATTTTCTAATATTGAATCAACCCCAAATTCCTATCCAGCCAATAAAAACACCGAGAGCCTCCTTCGTGTCTGAGCTTCCCCTGGGCATCTCCCTCCCACCCGCGCTCACACCGCTCTCCTGCGGAGGAAACGACTCTGATGCCCTGGTTCCACCAGGTCTGTGTGCTGTGCCATGATAAGGGGTGATTCCGACCAAGAGTTCTTACCTCTGCTATCTTGGGATTGTCATCAATTTCTGAAATTTCACATGGCCTCTCACTTTCCTAAGTGGGAAATAAGGAAGGGAGGGAGGGAGGGAGGGAGGGAGGGTGGGTCACAGAATTTGCCCATGACCATGATTAAAATCAGTGGTGCTCACACTTAGGTTTACAATCACATTACAACCACCAGAGAACTTTGAAAACAAAGAAAAATAAGCAGATAATAACTCTCTCCTCCCAAAACATAAATAAGAAATACCATTGTGAATTACTTCAAAATGATCCAGGGCTGGCCGGGTAGAGAAGTGGGTAGGAGTAGAGATGAAATACAATCATATGAATTGTTAGGTTAATTATGTTATTCTCTCTACTTCAGTATATGCTTAAAATTATTTATAATAAAAAGTTCTGTTTTTAAAGACCAATGCCACAACTCTATTATCCAGTGGTGCTGATTTCATTGGTTTTGGTGACCAATATTTTTGCAACCTCCTAAATGATTTTAAAATGCACAGAAGGTTGAGAAACTACTGCCCAAATAAAAATACACCACCAGCACCCACAATTCTTCTTAATGGTAACAGTTTACCACTTGTCAACACATCTTTACAGCCAAGATCTCATTTCATCCTTGCAAATGTGCCTGCCTCCTGAAATGAGAGGGTACTTGTTATGACTCCTATTAAGTTGACCTAATCAAGGCACAGAAAAGGTTAAGTCCCTTGTCCAGGGTCGTGTAAGTGATAACGTGGCAGAGCCAGGGCTGGAGCCCGGGTTTTCCATCTCCCCGGGAATGCTCGCTGCCGTGAGTGCACCAGGAACATTCAGGAACGAGGGGGTAGGGGAGGCGGAATCACACCCCAGAGCCCAGGGCGCACTCTGTGCTGACAGAGTGCAGCACAGCCCTGGGACCTCACTGGATGTGGCTCCAGGTGGCCTTTAAGCCCTGACGTGGCTCCCAGAGCAATCTGGCCTGTGGAAGGGGTGGGGTGGGCAGATTCCCATGTGGCTGAGGTGCACCCAGACGTGGAAAAGGGCACAGGGAAGCAGAGCCACACACTCTGGACACCCGCCTGCCTCAGCACCTATGTGTTCCTGCTTTTGCCAGGATTACCTCCATCCTCTCTATGGAGCTCGTGTCCTTCTGTTTATCAACTTGAGACACCTGTATAGACAGGTGTCTGCCTTGGCTACACATGTCCCTCCTCACCGCTACTCTCTGCTACCCCAAACACGTCCTTGCAGCCACATGACAAATCAGCTCTGCCTGGAGCGTGATGGCACGAGTACAAGAAATCGAGTACAAGAAATGCAGGAGCATCCACTGTCTTGTCCTTAGGAAACAGACACAAGTCCTGACACGCTTCGCCCAAAAGCCACCTCACTGAAACACCTCTTTCTGCCAGCGCGCCCAGACCCTGAGAAGCTGCTAGTCACCTCGGCAGACTCCCTGCTGCTGCTGCTGCTGCTTCTTCTTCGGTGAATCAGCGTGAACAGGAGGGCTACCAGCAGGGCTGTGGCCGCCAGCGACGGGATGCCGGCGGCGAGTCCGAGCGAGGGCCCACAGTCCTGACACAGAGAGAAGCAGAGTCAGGTTCTCCGGGAATCGAAGAAAGGGTCGATCGATGAAAACCAGAACAACACCACAACCTCAAGGACCCTGAGTGTGGTACAAAATCAAAAGGGTAATGAGATATTGTGAAAAATGTTTGCGGTCTACATGACAAATGACTCATTTTCATTCATAGGACTTAATGTACATAGTTTAAGTCAATTAGAAAAGGGATGAGATAATCCAGTAGGAAAATGGGCAACAAAAATGAACAGGACATTCCTGGGAACAGACACACAGCGTTCTCGTCAGCACTGGAAAAGCTGAGATACAACTCAAAGCAGCAACTAGATGCCATTTTTACCTATTGGTTTGGCAAAAAGTGAAAAGTTTTCCCGTACCATTTTGATATGAATATTTTAAATTTATTTACACTAAATGCATTAACCACTTAATTTTCAAAGTCCCACTTTGTGTTGATCTCAGTGGAAATAACTGCATAGGTTTTCGGATTTGCAAGTTATCTGGAAATATCAACGATAACCTGCAGAATGTGCATAAATATGGGATTCTCATATATGACATGAATACAGGAATGGACATAAATCAAAAATATATAGCTTGATGACTCCTCACATGATGAACCCACCCATACGCCAGTGTTCAGATGATACCCAGAACATCGCCAGCCCCCCCAGAAACCCCCTCATGCTCCTTTCCAGTCAGCCCGTGTGGAAGGCTGTTTTGAAATCTGTCACCATAGATTAGATTTGTCTTTTTCCAGCATCATCTAGATGCACCGAGAAAGTAAGTACAGCACATCCTCACTTAACATCCTAGCTGGGTTCTCGGAATGTGGTGAAACAAAAGGCAGAGGAACCAATTTCACCGCGGACTGACCAATGAAAACAAAAGTTAGGTTTCTGCAGCCTCTCACCAGTGTCGCCATGAAACAATGCTGAACAGAACGTCATCCCAGAACCTGAGACTGCAGCTTCTTCTGCTTAACACGTTGTGAAACTGCCTGTGACTTGCACACTCCCTCATTTCTGAGGTGAGTTGATTGTAAGAATAATAGTTGAGTCAGGTTCTGTGCTTGGTAACAGTTCACACATCAGATCTGTCTACTCCTCCAAACAAATGCACAAGGCGGGGAGAGCAGTATCATCCCTGTTTTATAAGTGACCAAACCAAGGCTCCAAAATTTAAGCAACATACTTACTGCTTCTTTCCCACCTGTAACAACTGGAGAGGATGTCTGTGTGGGGAAAAGAACATGTAGCTTAAGAAAACGAATCTGTGGAATGAATGATATATAGGTCAGTCTGTCAAAGGTGAAGCTATAACACCTAAAGTTTACCCTTTGCTAAACATCCTATTAAAAACAATGAGTGACCACTGTTGCAGGAAGTAGCATCAAAGAGCTCTGAGACTGCGAGACTGCTGTGCTGCTGCTGCTGCTGCTGGCCAGCGGCTATGCCCTGGTTGCCAGGCAACTCCTTTTAACACTTAGGTAGCAGCTAGGAATGGGTGGCTAGAGGGGAAATGAAGGCAGGGCCCTCACCATTGCAATCTAACAAAGAACTTGATACAGGAGGCTGAAACCAAAGGAGGACATGCCTCACCCATTGACCCAGGTATCCTGAGTCTGGTTTGGTAAGGCTACCAGGTGTCCCAAACCACACCTGTGAGCTATGATAGTTCACAGCACAGGGGGCAGCCCTTGGAAGTCTGTGTGCATCATCGCCACCAGCTGGGAAAAGGAAAACCTTGAGCCCTTGTGTTCATCCCAAGGCCTGGAAGGGGAGGGGGTCTACAGTGCCCAGAGAAAAAGCCCATGAAACAACTTTGGTTAACTGCCTGCCTCCTGTCTCACATGCAGAATGAACAAATGGAGCCTGGAGCAGGATAAGGGTTCGGGCTAACATGCCCCACACATGCCGACATTTGGGTAGTGACGTCGCCCAGGAAAGCTGGCTCCACCTCTCCTGTCAGTCAATATGGAACTCCCTTCCCCCCACCCCACCAACTATGTAAGTCCTCAGAACAAAGGACTCACTCTCTGCTCTTGGCTCTTTTTGCCACACAGGGGGGTGGGGGAGTGGGCCCTGGCTATTTGGCCTCCGGCCACCCTGCTCTTGCCACCCTTGCTGGTGCTCCCCCATGAGGACTTAGCACTAACAAACTGAGTGCAAGCTAATAGGCTTGCTGGTCTGTCATTCTTTACTGTGTCAGCAAGTAGGACCAGGCTGTCTCCAGTAACACCATGACTGCCAAACAGAACTTTAAATAACTGTTTCCCAGAGAGAAGAAATGAAATTCATCTACAAGGGGAGAGAATTAGGAAATTCCGGGAAGGTCTTTGTTAGTTACTTGCATGGATTTGCCATAACACCCTTTTACAAATCAAAAAGCCTTTCTCTTGCCCCAAGTCCCCATGTCTTTCCCAGCACACCTTGGGTCTACCTACCCCACTGCTGGAGGGAAAATGACACAGCCTGCTGGAAGATGGGCTCCTTAAGGATGCCTCATTGTGCTCAAACGTGCGATGAAGCACCTGCCTTTGGGGGGATCTGAGGTTGTGATCAATCCACGTTCCCGGGGTAATTCCACGTTGAATGAATGCCTTGCAGTTTGCCAATGCACACCTCCTCTTAAGGAGGGCACAGGGCGCCACCCTTCTGTGAGATAGTTCAGGTAGCAGTCCCACCTGGATCGGGGAGTCTCGGGGAGCCAAGCTCTACATTAGCATACCCCCTGCAGACCGTGCTAAGTGGGCTCCCGGCCGGGAGTGGAGTGGCCATGTCTCCAGTCACAGGCTGAGGGTCTCCTTCCTTCACCAGTGAGACAGGACTGCCAGCGCCCACCTCTGGAGTTGTAATGAGCTCCGCAGTGTAAGACTTTGTCACCCCTTTAATCCGGGCAAGGCTCTGGTCTGACCTGTTGCTTAATTAATATTCTCATCGACCTCGTGAATACTTTGGAGTCCCGGGGTTGGGGCTTTGACAATTTTTGTCACTATTTCACAAAAAATGAACTAGATCTCAGAGAAGTTATGGGATTTTGTTCAAGGTTCCACAGGTAACCATAAATCTACCCTGAACTTGGGTGTTTGAATTCCATGCCTAGGTCACTTGACCGGGGAGTTCCCACCAAAAGAGGAACGTGATAAAGGAGGCATTGACATTTGGTACTTACGTGGTTGCAGTTTTACCTGAACACAGTCTCCGCCCCACCCACCACCATATTACCTTAGTGCTGCATTTCCCCAAAGTGTTCCGTTTCTCCAGGTTGTGATAAGAGTCTAATACCATTTCAGGTAAGGTGTTCTAAGTTCAGGTTACATAAATTCACTTCAGCTGGATTTGACCCCCCTACCAAAAAGGAGCTGACTCTAAGCATTCAGGGTACTTCGTGGAACCCCAAAAATGCAGAAATGTGGCTTCTTCAGGGATTGAGAGACTGGGAATTTGTCAGGACCAAAGCCATCCCTCCTGGGGCCTCCCCATCTCTCCTGGGCACACGGCCTTTCCCCCGTGCTCCTCTCTGTCTGTCCGCTTCCTTCTTCTCTCTGCAGATGAGCCTTCCTGGCCTCGTGAGCGCCTGCCAATCATACCAGCTGATGCTCATGGAGTGCTCACTACGTGTCAGGCTGTTCACGGGCAGCTCCTGTGTCCGCTCATTTGTTCTTCATGACAGCCAGGGAAGCAGGACTACCGTGAGCCCCATTTTACAGATGAGAAGAATGAGACACAGAGAAATGAAGTAACCTGTGTGAGGTCACACAGCCCTGAGAGGCAGACGCTGAGTGGTCTGGCCCCAGTCCAAGCTCTCAACCGCTACTGCAAAACCTTAGCTCACTGTTTGTACTTGACAGTTCAGGGGCCAGCCTGCCTGTGTGGCCCTGTTCCCCACTCCCCGCAGAGGCTCCAATGAGCCAGGTGTCTACCTCTGTCCCCTTCCCAGGGCACTGCACCAAAAAGGATGGTCCTGAAGTGGGGACATGACTGTCAGGCAGCGTGACCACCTGTCCTAGTTTTCCAGAGAGGTTGCCTGGGTTGTAGCACATTCAGTGTTAAGGCCAGGGACCCAGATAAGTTGCCTTCAAGGGTGGGCCAAGCCAGGATAAGACAGAACCCAGGGTCTCTACAGAACCGCTGAGTTTAAGCAGTAAGGGGGAAAGTTCCAGCAGTAACCATATTAAAAGGTTTTGACAGTTGAGAGGGAGGGGGGAATTCATCTGCAAACAACAGGCAGAGGCTGTTAAGGCAGGGAACTCAGCAAGTCAAGGGGGTTCAGAAGGCAGGATCCCACCAGGAGAGCATGGCAGGTGCCTGGGGAGGGGGTTGAGGGACAGACCCCCAGGGCAGCCAGCAGGGGGCAGCAGGAGGCTGGCAGTGAGTGACAGGCTCTACCTTCCTGTGGCTCTCCAGAACAGTGCCCTCACATCACACAGGAGACTGCTCCTTGGCTCAGGTGTTCTCTTACCAGGTAGATTCTGTTTATTCTCTTCAAATAACGACGTGACTTATCAGAAACATTGGTGCAGCCAAATCCACTAAAAACTGGGCCAGGAAAGCACCTCGAGGAATCACAGCAGCACTGCGGCTCAGAAAACAGCCCTGGCTGCGTCCTCCCCATGCGACCCGAGAACGGAGACGGACAACCAGGTCTGGGTGGGCACTGTGAGCCACCACCCACTGAAGTCGCTTTTTCGCTTGCAGCTGAATGTCATAATCAGGAGCCATGAAGTGTTCACACTCGCTGACCCCGAAATTCCCCTTCTAGACTACACACGAAGGAAGTCATCTTCAGTGCAAACGGTATTCATCTGCACCTGCATTTATCACAACACTACCCCTAATCATGATTACACAACTCAGACAACAGTTTGCTTGCAGAAATGTCACGTGGCCGCCCTCAGTTATGGTTATAAAGGCTGATGGGAAACACTTCCATGGAATTATGTCGGGTAAGAACACAGTGGCGCGAAGACAAGGAAAGTCAGCATTTCCCCTGAGTCAGCCAGGACCAGAAGGAATGACATTTTCTGCTGATGGGAACATAGGTGAAGTTTCCTTCTTTTTTGCTATTTTCCTTTTCAAACTATACGTTTATAATTTTCAGCACTGAAAAAACTTCTCTCGGCAGCCCGCAGCTCCTCCTAAGTGCCCCTGGAGAGCGGGACTCACCGCTGTACGTGGAGCTTCCGTGGCCGTGTTCCGGGGGCCTCGGGTCGGTTCTGCACCGGCGTTTGGGGAGTGAGCAGGGACTGCTGTACTTACCGTGTTGGCTGGCAACGTGAAGTTCAGTGAAAAACTCTGCAAAGGAGAACAAAACTCTGAAGCTCCCGGGAATGGTCAGCCAGGCCCCCACCCAACGCCAATGCACCCAACGCCTCTCCACCCAATGCCACTGACGCTGGAGGGTTCTATGAGCACTCACCCATCCCTCAGTCTCAGCCCGCCCACGTCCTCTCCCAGTCTTGGCCCAAGGAGAGGGCAGACAAGCCTGAGGTCCGGGTTCTGCCCTCAGCGTCAGGGCAGTCTTGCGTCCTCTCCCCTCCCAGGTCCTCAGCCAGGGCCAGACTAAGGGGCCAGGCAGCAGGGCTATTGCCTGAGGGATCCCAATCCACAGGGACAATACACACGTTACTAGACATTCAGCAAAGTGCTGAAAATAGTTTCTTTTCCCCCTGGAATTCTTCAAAGGGAGGGAACTGTGTGAATTTAGAAATACTTGGTGCTTGCTGCTTGCGTTAGGAAGTAAGTCCCCCCGTCACTGCCCCCACCCAAGGACCTGCTCCAACAAGAACACCTGCCCCTTGCACCCCCTGCCCAGGTGAGAGAACCTGAGAAAGACAAGGCTGCCATTTTCGCTGAGTCCAAAGCACAGTTTCTGGGCTGGAGCAGAGCTGGCCAGGACGACCGAGAGAAGCTCACCCTTCTTCACCCTCCCCGACTCAGCACCCAGCCTCACCATCCCCCTCATATGGAGTCAGTATTTAAAGTTTGTGGGCTCAATGGGCACCAAATGTTTAGCCTGCTGCGTGCCCTCTCCCTGGGTCAGGCTCTGCCAAGGGCCTGCGCCGGCCCCTTCCCCCCTCCTGTCTTCATCTTCTGTCACCGTAGTTTGGGCTCGTCAATGCCACTCTTTCCAGGCTACTCGTTCCCGAGACCAAGATAGACACTGTTCTAGGACATTAGAGCAAGAGGGACATCTGGGCCACCACAGGTCAGGGTCCTCTTGCTCGAGGGACCAAACCACTGCGGTTGGTTGCTAACACCAATCAAGCCAATGGACGCTGCAAGGACGCTGGTCACCGCACTGGGCACGGCTGCCCGGAGCCTCATCTCATCCGGGAGTGCTGGGCACTGACGTCAGCAGGCCCAACACAAAGCTCCCTTTGGGGCCCAGCAGACGGGAGGGGCAGCAACACGCGGGCCATCGCACGTGCTGTTTATCAACATTTGGATGACAAAGGTTTTGGCCAGTTTCAGAGAGACACTCATGTTTTGCAGAAACACTACAGTGCTCTCACAGAGAGAAAAACATCGCATAAATCTGGGTGGAGAAGAATGTGACGCAGTGTTCTTTAGAGGCAGCTGGGTAGGGTGAGGCAACCCTGGGCTTGGAGTCACCGCATCTGGATCCGAGTCCAGACGGAGCCACCGAGTGGCTGTGTGGCCTTGGAAAAGTGACTCACACTCTCTGGTCTCCATTTCCTCACAACAGTTCTGTCCTCCCAGGTTCTGGTTTTCCATCCTCGAAGCAGGGGTATGACTAGCTTGCCCTGCCCACCTCACAGGATAAGTGCAAAGGACGTAACACCTGGGCAGCTCCATCCACACCATAAACCACTCTAGGAGTGTGAGGGGTCACATGGGGCCGTATTCTTCCTGGCCGGGCCAGCACAGAGCCAGGCACGAGGAAGCCACATGGGAGCTCTTTTTCAGACAGAAGCACATACACGGACCCGCCTTACTCAAAGTACTGGAATTTGGAACAGCACACTAATTGCTCAGATGCACTTACTGTTAGTCTAAGCACAACATAATTAATACCTGCGTGATGGCTCCTAAGGAGCATTAGGGTCTCTTAAGAAGAGGGTAGCACTGGTTATAAGGTTGCTGTTCTGAGGGGAGGAGGGATAACTATGCATTGTCACGGAGGGCGCGCTGCGTGTCCAACACCAGTGAAGGGAGGGCGGGCTCTCCTCCCCACCTCGTTGGCGAGGGGACTGAGACCAGGTCGGTTTCTGCAGGTCGCCAGCTGCTCAGTCAGTGCCAGAGGCTGGGTCAGACTGCACACCCTCCAAACTCCAAAGCCTGAATTCCACCCTTTTTAATCATCTTTTATACAGAATCTCAGAAGCCTCTTCTGTTTTCCCTCTTCACTTAGCAAACTTCATCTAAGTGAGTCACAACCAAACATGTTTGCGAGTCAATAAAAAGAGGCGGGAAGTTTCTGACTCGGAGGACGAATATCTACCCGGCTGACCAGGTGGCAGAGGCGGACTGAATACTGGGGATGAGGGCGAGGATCAGCCCCGTAGCTGCACCTGGGAAGTGAATTTAGCTGAAACATCTGCTCTGTGCCCTTACTGTGTGGGGGGTGTCACAGACCAGACCATAATATTAAAATAAAAGATGAGATGGGCAGATGGTTGGTGAGAATTTTACAAAAAATGGTTAGTATTTTGCACATAGGAAAATAATTTAAAACAATCCCCCTGACTTTATTGTACCGAGGAAAATGTTACATGAGAATGAGAGAGGTGAGCTTTAAAAGCCTGGGAATGGTTTTTGCAGGGAGAGAATGAAGGTTAGGCTGCGCCAGAGATGCTGGCCATCACTCACCATCCCGACGGCCTCCCGAGACCCTTCTCAGCAAGCTCCTTTCTCTCTGGAGTTACTGGCTTGTGTCTCGCATTTGTAGGGACATCCAGCTGGGCGAGCAAGGGTGGCAGGGCAAGAAGTGGCTCTAAGAGGGCTCTGGCCAAGCCATTTATGGTCAGGGGAGTAGCCAAGTCCTCAGCCCGTCCCTCAGGGAGATGGTCTCCTGCTCCACAGCCACTGTGTGCAGCCAGGGTCACCCACCCTCTTTGCCTTTACTTCCTGGCCTCCTCACTTGTCAGGTCCCTCCCTCCATGACACCTCCACATCAGCAAAGAACCCAGAGCTGGCCCAAGGGCTCCGAGGCTCCCGCAGCTGGGAGCTCTTTAGAAACAATGTGTGACTGAGGCTGTGGCGGCCGGGAGGCCGGCAGCGGCGCCCCCGCCGTGATGGAGTTGGCACGTCCCCAGCATCCCTGCAGAGGACGCCCGGACACAGGGTGGGGACCCACTCTGTGCCTGCGGCAGGACTGCAGCTGCCACAGGGAACACACTCCCGGCCAGAGGGCTGCCTGCTGGTGAGTTTGGCCTCACCCCTTTCCGCTCTCATACTCTGATGGGGACCCTGCTGGAGCTGAGGAGGCTGTTGACATGGGCGGCTTTTTATTTCATATGAGCTCTCTGCTAGGAGTCTGCTTCTTTAAAACAGTGAGGGAGTCGGAGTCATGTGCCAACAAAACAACGAAGTTAGGACCAATAAATTTGATCATTTAAATGAGTGCATTTCTTCATCTAGTTAACAAATCTTTTTGATTCCTTCTACTATTCTGGGCACTGCTCTCAGAAATGGTGACGAAGAAAAGTGAGGTCCCAACTTGTAGGGACTGTAGGTCCCAGCGAGGACAGACGGACAGCAGTCACTGTGGAGGAGCCAACAGCCTGGAAGGGAGGAGTGAGCAGTGACCCGGAAGCAGTTGCTTTTGACGTTTTGAGAGATTGACTTTTAAGCTGCGTGTGAACGGATGAGAAGAGAGCCCTAGGCAGAGGCAAAACCCTGGAGCTGAGGCAGGCACGATTCCCTCACACATGGAAGCTGGTGTCACACCTGGAGCAACAGAAACCTGGAGAGACCTGGAAGGAGTTAACGACAGATCAATTTAGGGACCTGTGGTGTGAGCACACTGGGGCAGGTGAGATTTCTCCTGTGGGGCAATGGGAAGCCTTTCAAGGGTTGTAAGTGGGAAGGGAGCCTGACCTAACTGATGCCGGCCAAGACCAGCTGGCCTCTCTGTGGGGCCTGGGTCACAGGTGACAAGAGCGTGAGCCCGGGCACCGGTTCGCAGAGTCCAAGTGAGCGGTGGTGGTGGCTGCCCTGGGGGGGCGGGGGGTGGGTGCGATGGGGCAATGGGGAGCAGTCAGTGGGTTCGGGACTTACTGTGGAAGCAGAGGCAATGAGATTTGATGATGGAAAAAATGGGGGGCAGGGGCGGGGAGAGAAGGTGAGGGGAAGAGCAGAATGCAGCCGGCCCCTGGTTTGGGGGCTGGACTCTCGGAGCAGGTGGAGGCCCATTTGCTCTCCATTCGCCAAACCGAGAAACAGATGTGGCGCAGGGGATGCAGGCAGCGGGGAACTAACCTGAATGAGAGCAACTTGGCCTCTGCCTCAGGGGTTTCCAGTTCCCCAGGTGATGTCTAAACTGAACCTATCAGCACCCAGGCGCCATGGAGACGCGGCCCGGGAAGTCTGCATTGAAAGTCTCCGCCGCCGCCCCCCTGGAAGCAGGTGTGGTCGGGAGTCCCTCCTCCCAGCCTCCCTCCCAAGCTGTAAGATGGGGACGGTGCTGCCGACAGCGCCTGGACTACCTAAACCAGCACATCTGGTACAAATTACGCTGCTAACTTCGCTCGGCGATCCTGGAACCACGCCCGGACCAGACAACAGACCCAGGAACCTCAGCTCACAGCCCCAGAGCCCGAGCGGGTGGGCAAGGCCGGCGAGGGCCTTTCTGACTTTTTGTTGGCTAGGCACCCGCTGATTGCCGACTCTCGCTCCAGTGAACGTGTCAGTCCTTCGGAAGAATGGCTGTGACCTCTAGTGGGCGGTGCCCTGGACTAGGTGTCTGGGAAGGTCACGGGCCCCTGGCCACGAGCATCACCACAGGCTCTGATTGGGAAGAAGGGGGTTCACTGGTTGGGTGCAGTGGAGCTCGGGCAGGGAACCGGGCTCCGGGAGGACAGCGCCAGGTCGCTCCCGAGGCTTCCGCAGCAGGGCCGCCGCCCAGACAGTCCGCTCCAGATGTCCTCCGGGGAAACGAGCTCCAAAATAGTTCAGCCCCTTTGGCCTGGATCAAGACTCCAGTTCCAGAAAGAGGACCTTCTGGTCTGGCTCGGGTCTCGAGCCCCAAGAGGACCTGCCGCCTGGCTGCAGTCTGCCCAGTGCCAGCCCCTCCAGCGCGAGAAGCGGTGGTTCTGCAAAAGGACCCTGCCGCCATCCCACCCCACCCCCTGGGGAGGGGGGCACTGGTGGAGTGAGTGGGCGCTCCGCCTCCGGAAGTGTTAGGCTGAGGATTATTTCCTGAGATATTGCAGAAGGAATGCCCCTAGCGGGTGGGAGGTTAGGGCCACCAACGCTGAGATTCTCTGATCGTTTCTATTATGCCACCATTAACATTTGCACAAGCCCAGGCACACTGATGGCTTGCTGGCCAGGTGGTCAGTTTAAACTGCTCAGTTTAAAAAGTTGGTCCACTCTGCCCTGGCCGGTGTGGCTCCATTGGTAGGAGCCTCATCTCATAGGCTGTGAGGCTGCAGGTGTGATTCCCGGTCAGGGCACACACCCAGGTTGTGGGTTTGACCCCTGGCTTTGGGGCATGAACGAGAGGCCACGAATCGATGGCTTTCTCTCTCTCGGTAGTGAAAACATGTCCTCAGGTGAGGATTTCAATAAATAAAAATTTAAAAGTTAAAAGCTGGCCCATCCTAAATGACAGGTGGTGTAATTCTAACTGCTGAAATCTGTATCTAAGATGGCAGTAAGGATGTAGCGAGGACGTGAAGTGTCCAGCAGCAGCGATCGGGTGGTTTCCCTGCCCGTGACCGTCACAGTGAGAGCCATCAGGGCTGTGGGGGGGGGGGGCCCACCAGGTATCCCCAGCTCACGTGCTCCTCGCCTGCAGTCAGGAGCAGCCCGGTGAGTTGCTCCGGCCAGTGACCCGTGGGTGGAGGAGAGACGCCACGCACAGGCATCGTGGGAGCCAGTGTGTGGTCCCCCACACCTCCTTTCTGTCTGACACAGGGGCCCACACGGTGCCATCCGCCCGGCCCAGACCCGAGGGAGGGTGACCTGGAGAAGCTGCCAGGTACTAGAAATGAGTACGTAGTTTGAACGAGAATCAAACCTGGTTATGTGAAGCCCCTGACATTGGGGGGCATTTTGCCCGTGCGCTACCTTATCCTGTTGGTGCATCAAGCAGCCGTACCCTCATGCAGCTGGGGCTCACCCTTCAGGTACTCGTGGCCCCAAAAGGCAGAAAAGCCATAAAACCTTGACACTGCACAGATAGCACAAAACCGGCTTGTGTTAAGTAGTTTGGCATTAATTCTGAGTGTGCTTAAAAACATGGTCCCTTACTAACTAACTACCCTTCCCTGGTATGACCCACAAAACTCTGAGCATACCTAAAATTCTCTTCATCTGGTCAACCTACAAAGACTGTTCTCGATTAGATGGAGTCTCTGTCCTCGAGTTAGAAACGATCCTCCGTCTGTCAGGGTCCCCATAAGAAGTGAGTGATATACTCAATTTGCTGTATATAGGGCAGTAGGACTTATTAAAAGAATTATTTATAAAGGTCCCCTGGGGGGACAAATAATGCTGTGCCCCAGGGTTGGGCCAGCAGAGTGTCCTTACCACCCCTGGACCTGAAGGGGCAAGTGGAAGGAGTGGCTATCAGAGCCTGGAGAGAAAAGGCCACCTTCTAGAAGGCACGACCTTCAATTTCAATGTCAAATGTCAGGTGTGGTCCTCGGGCACAAAACTGCAGGAAGATGAGTAGAGAGAGCTGCTGAGGGACAGACGGCAGAGTCTCCCTCATCCACACCCTTGTGGGAGCAACCGGCTCCATAGTAATTATGTTGTCAAACTTCTGGCCTGTTCGGGTCCAAGAGAGGGGGCCACTTTGAAGCCACCTTCCCTTTGCTCGTGACTTTCTGGGTCCCACAGGGAGCTCTGTGCCGGAGTCGGACACTGGGAAGGACCCTGCTTTTCTATGCTCCCCAAGCTCTAGTGGTAATGGAGAAAATCATCACCACGAGGCCAACCTTGCCGGAACGGGTGAGATACACCCAGGACACGCCCATCAATGCACATTCTTTAATGAAACAAGTCTTTCCAGACAGACATGTCCGCTCCGCTCCGCTTTCTCTTGGAAACCGACAACACTTCATGAAATGGGAAATTACACAAAATAAAGAGTACCATATATTTATAGGTTAACACTCTAAACAGCTTTCCTTTTTTCTTTGTGTTACAGAAAACTTTTAGGCATTTGGGATCATTTCTTCAGAAGTTCCGTCCACAGAGGAAACGGGAAGGACGCCTGCCAGAGCCACAGAAGAGGTTCCCAAACTGAGTGATGGCACCAGGAGTCATGCGAGGCTCCTCCAAGGGGCCGGATCCCTGGCAAGTCCCTGGACGACCTTGCCAGTTAACGAGATTTTACAAACAATTGGAACAGCGTGAACACTTCACCCGTGATAGGAAACTTCCCTTTGGAAGACAACAGAGCTCCAGGGAACCAATGCACAGACATGTGTTCTCTGTTGGGAGAAATGCTGCAGGTCGAGTTACTCCCAGACCCTTCCCCTGCCCCGGGGCCCAGGTTCTCGCTCCTGCTAGACCAGATGACACTGGCATTGGACCAGGCTGAAGACCTGGACCCTGACTATTTCGTCAGGTCGTCAAGGTGATTCTCTGAACTGAAGCTAGTCTGGGAGCTCTGTGATATCCCCAGGGCCCAACACCCAGTGCAAAGACCGAGCTGGCTGCAGCAGCGTCCCTGGCTCCTTCCTCTGCACCCAGGGGTGTGCAGAGGGAGGGCTCTGAGCACTTGGAAGAGCAAGGGCCGGGGGCCT